ATCTAAAAGAATTTGTATGAATATATACCTCAAGGACCTTCCTTAAAAAGTTAATGACCATTAGGAATTGGCAGCTCCTGCCATCTTATTCTGAAAGACAGTGTCGCGTGGTGATTGTAGAGATTCAGTTGGCACCTCATAGGCCTTCAGATTTTACTGGCATGAATTACTGGCTGTACCTACCTTGAAAATCAACACACTTAACTGGACTATTGGAAAATGTGTCCCTCAGTATAATATGTGGTTTCAACATGATTGTGCTCCTGAAGTGTGTCAGTGCTGTCAAAGAATTATCCTGGACACTGGACTGTTCTTGGATGTGAAGCTCCAGTTTCCTGACCTGCACGCTTACCTGACTTGAATCATCTTGTTTTTTCCCCCCTGGGGGGAGGAGTGGTCGGAAACTGGAGTCTATGTCGGTACAACCAATACTAAAGAGGAACTGTAGCATTGAATTTAGCAATTTAAGTGAAATAAAGAATGCATCTAGAACCTTTGAACACTTGCTAGGTTTTCTTTCATGCAGAGCTGAGTTGTAACTGTGAACATGGAGGCCATTTCAGGCTCCTCTTCTAAGAAAGAAAAATAGAGAGATTATTAAGAGCTTTTTGTTTGTTTTCTGTTTATACACTTCCTGCATGAAACTCAAAAGGTATATAAGTTGTGTCCATGGAAGTTAATATTAGAATAGCTTCAACTGTTAAGGAAGGCTTTCAAGGTACAGATTCCTATGAACTATTTTCTTTTTTTGATATCCAAAATACATCCTCTACAGTATGGCATGTAATGAGCCGTTCTGTATATTTGCCCATCTACATCTAGATATACCATTTGCCCTTCTTTCCTTGAGATTTTCCAACCACAATTTTGTATGTGTTTCTCATTTTCTCCTGCATATTTCTTTCATCCTCCTCTTATTTCATCACTCTTCGGTCCAAATTTTCTGCTGAACACTGAATTCTCAGACAGGCTCAAACTGTGGTCAGGGCCCAGGTTTTGTTCTTTATTTACTCAAAACTCCAATATGATGCATATTTCATAATTATTTCTCACTCATGATTGTGCATTTCTATTATGTTCAGAGGTTACACTGAAATCGTTACCTCTTATATTCTTATATGTATATGGGTAGATTGTGAATGTGAATTGGTACAGTGCATGCATAGGTATATTGAAAGTTGACATATAATGACCAGATTGTAAGAAATAATGTTTTAGTTTATGAAATGGATAAAGTTTCCCTGTACCTAAGCACCATGCTATAGAAATGTATTGGGCGAAGTGAAGGTAGAACTTCACATACTGTAGAATCCAGCATTGTGTTGTTAATTCCAGACCTGCAGTCCAAATATGCAGTGCTTGATGTCCATTTGATGGGAGTTGGGTAGATCCAAGAGCCAACCTGGGTATGGTAGTAAAGAACATAGACAGCAACTTCACTGACTTACGTGTCCCAACCCATTTTTTACAAAATTAGCATCATATGAAATAACATATGAAGATGGGGAAGAAAGACAGTACAGTCCAGGGAGTTCATTTGTCGCAAAAATATGCTGCTTGCAATAGTATGATGGTAGCTGTTTACTGCGTGACCCTAGAGGGAGTGTCACAGGGGTTGCACCACATTGGTGCTGATTCTGTACTTAAACAGAACATCCTAATTATTTACTGTAAAAAAGGGACACAGACTTGCCATGTGTTATAAGATCTGCTGGAAGATACCACAGTCTGTCTTCATTCATGCCTCAGTACATAAACACGTTTTTCATTGCTCTCTGAAGTTCATCCTCTGAAACTGAAGCAATTAGATATGTTATTTCATTCTGGAGAGTTTTGTGATTGTGAGGCTTATGCACATTTTTCCTTGGATCTGTTAATTTTGGACAAACTATGACACACATAACGGTGTGAGAATTCATTCTTGTGGACATTTACAAATGGCCTCGGTATGCACAATTTTTCTTTCTTACGGATAATTTGAATGTGAAAACTACTGTTGAATCATGTACCTCATTGCAATTGTAGTGAATTCAGGCTTCAAGATAAAAAGATCTTAGCAAGCAGAACATTCACACGTCGCTGTACCAGTCATAATACCTTTGTCAATTGTGTCAGTGATTTGGAATGTTCAGAAAATATATAGTGATCGATTACAAAATATATGCTCTATATTGTTGTTAGCTTTCATGCTTTACATTTTTTAACATGATTGATCATGTCAGTATGCAAAAAATATATGAATATGGATTGAAGAGAATCTTCATGCATTTTAAAAAGTGCCATTGTGCAGTGTGAAATTAAGGATGTGATGTGCTCTGAACTATTAGTTCAATATTTTTTCAGCAAGCCATCAATTCATGTTGGTATTTAAGTGATTTATTGAAATTCTTTCTTGATTAATTCACAGCCAAAGAAAGACAATATTTTCAGTACTAACAGAATACATATGAAAATAAATTGTTTGTTTGCTGTAGCTTATTGCTCGTTTGGAATAGTATTATGACACATCAAACCTTGTTGCCACTTGTAGGCGTTTTAGAAGTGGTAGTAGTAGTTGTGATAATCTGCCCACAACCATGCAGATGCCTTTTTTTGTTAAAGTAGATGGGGCAAAAGTACATCTTTCCCTAAATGTTGTGGTCAGGGCATCTGGCGTTGACCACTGAACTATGAAATGTTAATATTATTATGTAATGAACACTCTTGACTTTAATTCGTGTAATTCCTACACTGCTCTTTTCCTCTTATTCTTCTACTAGACAGGTTTGTCTGTAAGTAGTGCTTAGACCTGTATTTGGGAGGTTTTTGGTTAGATTAGTGGTTGGGACATTGGCTATTGTGACCAACATTTTTATAGTTATCCTTGTTTCCTTCAAACAGCTGCCAGGGTGGTACCTTGATTAGGCTGTGGCCACTTTGAAGCCTTTTCTAATTCATCATTTGTTCTAGTATTTGACACTACATACAGGCTAGCTACTGACAATGTCATAAAATGTTCTTCCTGCTTTCCTACTTATTATGCATCTTAAGGCTAATACAGGCCTCAAAATCCTCTTTCCAAGGTCTCTTTGGTCTTTTGTGTGCTCTTTGCCCTATAGGCTTATAATTCCATATTCTCCTATCTTCATCCACTTTGTCTACATGGTCCTTCCATCTTTTCCTATATGTAATGATCTGTTCAACTATATTATTGACCTTAAGTTCCTCATGTATGTATTTTTTCTCTTTGTTTAATTATGTACAAGGAAGGGGCAGTGGATTTGAACAGTAAACCAACAAAATCTTAGACAAAGGCACTTTGACATTGAGATTACTGACTTCAGGTCAGTTTTACTAAATGTTAAATGAGAGAAAATGTTAAATTGTTGCACATTAAATGGGGTTTCCAACGTGTGTACAACAAAGAGTCAGAAAAATGTAATTACTATCCCATCTATTCCTTGTTTCTCTCAATACTGTATTTTACCAGTATTTTTTAATATAAAATATTTACATGTGAATGTTATATTACCACAACTTGAAGGGCTTGATATTGTGTCCCCATCATGAAACTGGGCTGTGGAAAATCTTCCAAGTTGAAAATTGAATTACTTGCAGGATTCAAGAATATCTCTATTTTTTGTGATTAATAATAATACTCTAAGATTTTAAGTAACTCTTTTCCATGAGTTATGAAAGGATCAGAAGTCCAGTACATTGAACAAAATGAGGCAGGAGTGTTGATATGAACCAGAGATATCCCCTTTGCTAGTTTGGCAAACGACTCTAAAAATGGGAATGAGACCGAATGTACGTAGGTCACAGTGTGAGTTACCTTAAGTGGGGACACACGTAAATTGTACTTAGCACACTACTCGAGCCTTGACTGGATCAGCAACTACCAAGTTCTTTGAGGCCAATACCAGGATTATTGTGGATGCACTACCAGAAGTGAGAGTTGACAGTTTATTACATTGACTTTATTATATGGTGTAAGTTAAGAAACTGGATTGTGAGAGGTCAGGTTGCTGGTTAAGGTTTAAAGGGGATCCTGTGTACCAGAGAATGAAATTCAGTATAGACTAGAGAGAAGAAGGCTTGTAGCATACAGGTTTAGACAATTTAATTGGCTTAAGCTTGATTTCTTCTAGGATATTTTGTTTAATTCTTGTGAGGGGGGGGCACAGAAACATTTTTTATAATTGATGGAATTAAGAAATCAGCAAATCTATTTAAAAATTTAAGAGGGAATGCTTTTTAGAAGGGTGAAGAGGTCTGTATTAGGTAATTTATATAAGTGGGAAGGAGATGCAGACAGTTGGGGAATTATGATGATATATAATATGTTGCTGTTTGATAAGATTTTGTTGTGGACTATTTATAATAAGATAAGAAAGTGAATAGGAAGTGTCTCAAAAGATGCATTAATATACCATTGAATCGATAAAGAGAAGGAACCTGTCACATTAAACTTGATATTTCATGTTTGTCAATAGATGGCATATAGGTGTGCCAAAAAGGATGTTACCTTGAAATAAACACTGACTGCTTTCTCTTCCACCCTTTCCTTTGTACATAATCATCCTCTCATCTAATCTGATGCTGATAATTTCCATGGATGATAAAATATTGTTAAATGAGCTACAAAAAACCTAATGCTAGTCATTCTATCATATCTGACTCCATACTTGTAACTGACTGACATGAACATTCTACCTTCTGTCACAAAAAGAGAACCTTATTTTCTTTCTGTCATACACACTTCAGAGAGGTTTGAACCCCTAAACTCACCCTCAAGATATAACACGGCTGAAAGCAGATTTGAGGGTTCAGGTAGGTTAAATCTTGGATAAGAAGTCTGTAAATAGGAGAGGGAAAGTAGAACCCATCAGAAGTGGTAGAATAGGCTTGTAACAAGAGAGAAGGTGGTTTCATTGTCTGAAGAAGGAAAGGCCCCATTTGAGGTTAATCTTGTCAAAACAATCAGCCCCCTCTCTATGGCTGAACATGTGTGATTCTAGGTGGAGCTGTCATCATGGTCCCACCAACCAACCAGTCAAAGCTTGAGGGGGAGAAGGTTCAGTTCTCATGTGAAGCCAAGGCACTGCCTGGCAATGTCACTGTTAAATGGTACCGTGAAGGGGTTCCTGTGAAGGAGGTAGCAGCACTTGAGACTCGTGTCACAATCCGTCGTGATGGCACCCTCATTGTAAACCCTGTGAGTGCAGATGATTCAGGGCAGTACCTCTGTGAGGTCACCAACGGCATCGGCGAGCCCCAGTCTGCTGCTGCTTACCTTAATGTTGAGTGTAAGTGAATATACAAGCTTGAAGTTAAGTTTCCCAATATTGTTTGAATATATGAGGTTGATTTTGCCTTTTGGCTCAAGTTGGATCCCAAGATGTTTGTTAGCTTAGCAGCTGTAGTCAGTAGATAGAGAAGAGAACACTGAAGACTTGATAGCAATATACTAATTGAAGTAATGTACTCTGTTAACAAAGGAATAGTTAGAAGTCAGTTAAAGCTAACTCTGTGGATATAAAAGACACAACATCACAAATACCAAGTTCCATCATTAAATGTGATCATTAACAGTCCATTCCGGTTTACATCCTTACAACCCGTTTCCCAAAGATTTACTTTTATTCATTCATTCATTTATTGTATATTCCATAAATCCATATACATAGATATAGAACCAGTCACATAGTTAATATCATACAATACAATTATAAATATATATGTACAGCTTATAGTCATTATAATAGATAAAAAAAACATGTGTTAAATTTACAGTCTTACATCACTATACGTAAAATTATGCAATATTAAAATTGTTTATGCTATTATCCTTATTTCTAGGCAAATTTGTTACTAAAGAATTCATCACATGTATAAAAAGAGTTTTGCAATAAAAATGTTGTCAACTGAATTTTAAAATTTTTCAAGTCATTAGACATAGATTTGATTTTTGGTGGCAAATGATTAAAGATCTTTAGCCCCATGTGACATATTCCTTTTTGGAATTGTGTCAGACTAGTTTGCGGATAATGCAGATCACAGATAGATCTGGTACTACAATTATGCATTTGTGAGTTGAATGTGAACAATTCCTTATTTACTATGACAAACAGAGAGATCGACAATATATATTGAGCTTGTAGGGGGAAGATATCCAATTCTTGAAACAAACTACGACACGATGTTCTCTTTGTTGTATTTGTTATAATCCTAATTATCCTTTTCTGCATCCTAGACACTTTTATACTATGCGTGGAGTTACCCCAGAATATTAATCCATACGTTATTATAGAATGTACATAGGAAAAATACATAATTTTTAATGTCTCCAGTGGTAAAAAGGATTTAACTGATTGGATTGCAAAGCAGGATCTGTTTAACTTATCAATTACTGCATCAATATGACTTTCCCACGTTAAAAAATTTTCAATTTTTAATCCCAGAAACGATATATTAGAAATACTTGGAATTTGATTGGTCAATAACTAACTTGAACATTTAAGTTTTTACTGTTTTTAGTTCTAAACTGTAGAAAATAAATTTTTTCATAATTTATTACTAGCTCATTTTTCCTGAACCATTCATTTATCATCTCAAATAATTTATTTATTCTGATTTTAAATTTCGCAGGATTCTTATCAAAGATAAGGATACTTGTATTGTCTGCAAATAATATTGGTTTGGATAGGTCAGATATAATTTTTGGTAAGTCATTTACATATAGTAAAAAGAACACGGCCTAATACAGAGCCCTGAGGCACTCCGCGCTGTATTTCTTTCCATTCAGAATGACATTTACTCCCATTTTCATACAAAATTACTCTCTGCTATCTTCCTCTCAAATAGGATCTCATAAGTTTCTGAGCAGCTCCTTCAATTCCATAAAATTCCATTTTTGATACCAATATATCATGATTTACTTGGTCAAAAGCCTTACTCAGATCACAAAAAATTCCACCCGCTATATATTTGTTGTTTAAAGCCCTATAAATATTCTCCATTAGATTATAAGTAGCTCATGTAGTTGAAAAGTTTTTTCTAAAGCCGAATTGCTCCTGCGTTAGCAGGTCATGTGTATTTAAGTGTAAAAACATTCTTTTATATATAACTTTTTCAAAAATTTTAGAAAAGATTGGGAGTAAAGATATAGGTCTATAATTAGACATGTCGGTAGGTTTATTATAGATAGTTTTATTATATCATCTGTTCACACGTTTCCAATTTCTTATAACTGCCATGCCTAATAACTTACAAATTAATTTATATATTTTCCATGGAACTTAATATGAACATCATTCCAATAGAGGCCACCCCACTGTTGTACATTGTACATACTTTCCTACCAAGTATATCAACATAACTGATGTAAAATGTTGAGGATAAAGGTTCTGTAGTATCACTTAAAATAGGAATCTGAAATTGCTTATTGTAGTAGTACTTCAAAAAATATGTAGCTTTTGTTACCGTATTTAGTTTGCATTATGCAAAATAACATAGGTATGCAAAATATGGGTTTGGCTTTAATGGAAATAATGGATCATTTGGAATTGGCCATGTGAAGGTTTATATGGAGATACATAGGTCATACCGAAAGTCATGAGCAACTTTTTTTTTGCATGCAACCTGGGAACAGCAGACAAAAGAGAGTACGGTGGTAGGTGGAATCAGCTGTTGTGTTAACCTTGAGTGTCTTGTGATGTCAGTAGCTTGCATCACGTGACCAGTATCACTCCTAACAAAATGTCCGACAACCATATGTCGTTTCACCAGCGTGCTGTCATCGAATTTCTTGTGAAAGAGGAAATCCCTGCTGCAGAATTCACCAGAGACTTCAGCAGCGTGCCTATGGAAGTGTGTGCATGGGTGCGAGCAGTGTTCGAAGATGGGTGAAACATTTTAAAGATGGGGACACCAGCATCAAAGATGAGCCTCAGAGCGGTCATCCTTGAACAGCCTCAACTGAACGCAACAAGGAAAGAGTGGATGAGATCATTCAAGATGACAGGCATGTGACTGGACACAATAGCCCCAAATCTTGGAATGGGGCACAGTGCAGTACAGGAGATGATTGAAAGCTTGGGCTATAGGAAAGTTTGTGCTCATTGGGTCCCGCAGTTATTGACCAAGGACCACAAAAGTCAGCAAAAAGCCATCACCTCAGAACTGCTACAGAGATATCGACACGAAGGCGATGATTTTTTGCTCTTTATTGTGACAGGTGACGAAAGCTGGTTTCACTTTTCGAGCCTGAAACAAAACAGTAGAGTATGGAATGGCACCGTTTGCATTCTCCATCAAAAAAGAAGGCAAAGACAGTGCCATCAGCTGCGAAGGTGATGGGCACAGTCTTCTGGGATGCAGAGGGGTTTATTCTGGCCGAATTCCTGGAACCTGGGCAAACCATCAGTGCTGCTTGTTACGTCCAGATGCTGCACAAGTTCCATCGCGCATTGCACGATAAACGTCCGGGATGAAACGTCATCATCCTACATGACAACACTCGCCCCCACGCTGCTCGCCTCACATTGGAAGCAATTACAAAGATGGGGTGGGAAGTTCTTCCACACCCCTCCTATAGCCCTGATCTGGCACCCTCCAGCTACCATATTTTCAGATTTGTGAAGGATCAGCTGCATGGACAACGTTTTGAGACAAGAGAGGCAATTCAGAAAGCAGTGCATCAGTGTCTTCGGATGGCTGGAACAGAATTTTACAGAAGGGAAATTTTCAAACTCCCAGAACGCTGGGAGAAATGTGTACAAAGAAGTGGCGATTATGTGGAAAAATGAAGAAAGATCTGTAGATTGAGGTGGTATATTTGGTTCGTCAATAATAAAGCATGTTACTTTACAAAAATTTGTTGCTCATGACTTTCAGTACGACCCTCATAGATGATAAATATACCTATCTATTTTGATTGAAATATTATTTTTGTGGCATCAATTACAAACGTGGAGTAGTGCCAGACCATGAAAACAAATCTCTCATATTTTGACATAGCTGGAATCTCTAGCAGTGGAAATCATGCGGTTGATATGGAGATTCATAAATTGCATAATTATTGCTAGAATGTTCATAGAGTTTGTAATATACAAAGTATTATAGATGTTGTAAATTCCTGTTCCTCTGCCATTTCTTGATCTTGCCTAATGTTTGTTTGATATTCACAGACCCAGCGAAGGTGACCTTCACCCCCTCAGTGCAGTTCCTTCCTTTCCGTCTGGCTGGTGTAGTGCAGTGTTATATCAAAGCGAACCCTCCATTACAGTATGTCACATGGACCAAAGACAAGCGCCTGCTTGAGCCATACCAGACCAAAGAGATTGTAATAATGAACAATGGGTCTCTACTCTTTACTCGAGTAAGTTGAAGCAAATACTATTCACCACCAAGTGGTGAGCAGAATGGTAATGTGTTTATATTCCATAGGTAACATCAGACCCTTCTTACCTTTGGGGGTGCATTCTGAGAAACTAAATAGGTGATCAAAACAGTGCTCTATGGGTCATTTTACCATTGCACCATATACAAATATTAGTAATGATTGTCCTTATTTGTAATGATAATCATGATGTCAAAATATAACAGTACATAGCCTAAAGAAACAGATTCTTAAAATATTTACTTTAGCATTTGTGATACCAATGTTATGGATTATTTTGCACTCGTCTCCATCTGGCAGATTTTGAACCTGGTTTATGCTAATCGTTTATGCTAATTTTCTATATAGCCATCAAAGGGGAGCGCTCTTTGCAGTGTTTTTTGGGGGGTGGGGAGGGGTAACTGACCTAAAACTTGCAGTATTCTGATGTACTGCCTTTATTAGTATTATGTGGGCAGCCCCACATTGTGCACTTTACAATGATCTTCAGTCTTTGTGTTAGCAATTCAGTTTGGATTTCTTGTCACCAGTGCTACTGCTTCTGAGTAAGCTTTCCAGTAACATTAATGTTACATTTTCTCAAACATCAAGCACATTCCTAACATTCTCAATTTCTACTTTTATACCTATAATAAAATGAATGCTACAATGTGACCCATCACTGACATGAGTTGGTGGTCTTAGTACTCAATAGTATAAATTTCTGTATATATTTATAGAAGTAGTATTGGCATTCAGACTATGTATACAATTACAGTTTGTTCATATGCTTTGTGTATAAAGAAAGATGCATGATTAATTATTTCTTATCTGTGGCTTATGTTGCATTTCATTTAGGAAGTTCATAGCTCATACTGTGTTGCAGTAAGCAGCAAGTTTTCTGGACAGCAGTGCTCTGAAGTTAGCTTGTGCACTATGGATTGGCCCATGTGTAATTTCCCAAGATCCATGTTGCTCTAACTCCTTATACTGTTCTTGATCTGTGTGATAAACATGTGTTTTATATGCAAGATACACACTGGAACAATGAGTTTTCATATATATTGCCTATTTGAAAACTAGTTCTGTGAGAGAAGTAAGAAGATTCTGGCATAATTTCTAGTATATTACAGTTTCACATAGGGAAACTATTTGTAGAACTGTTACTGGACAGTGAAACTGAGACACTTTTCCCATTTTTGAACATCTAACACACAAAGAACTCTGGTATGCATTTTTTCAGCAGGACTCCATATTGCTCATGCAGCAAGAGCATCCATAAATGCTTAAAGGAAAATGTTTGAGGACAATCAGTATGAGTGATCTGTGGTCAGCACACCTTCCCTGTGTTACTCCTATTTGTGAGGACCTGAAAAGCAAACAGTTTAGAGATGAGTTCTGTACACAGTTGAAGAACTGAAGGAGAATATGTAAAGGGACACTTTTTCAAAGAGTTTTCCCAGGAATTCCATTTGAGTTTTTTACTGAAGTGTCAGGAATATGTGCAGAGTAACAAAGAGGGCATTTTCAGTATCTGCTGTAATCTGGATAAATTATTTTTGCAAGTTAGATCTGGAAGTTCCTGATGATGCTATATTAATGATGATCAATTTTGTATTCATTATCCATCATCCTGATTTTATCTGCTTTGACATTTTGGAGACTTTATCCTGTCTCCATCCACAGGTGGAAACACCTACTCTGTTTGTCCCAGTTGATAGAGCTAGTCCCTATTTCTGGACCCGTAATAAGTTTATACAGTAGCAAAGACAAAAACAACACCGTCCAGTGTGACTATTTAAGTTTTATCACTTGAAAACTCATCACCCTTACATGTACCCTTATGAGTTTTCAAGTGATAAAACTTAAATAGTCACACTGGATGGTGTTGTTTTTGTCTTTGTAATTGTTAGTGTGATAGACCAGAATGAAACAAATCTAATTGTACAGTAGATTTATCAGTTCCACTAGAAGGGCCAACTTCGTTGGAGGAGAATCCACCTGTTCTATTTAGGAGTTCAGTGATTTAGGGCACCATTTATAAAGATCTCATGTTATTTATTAAAAACCAATTAGGGTGGGTGGGTGTTATAAAACCTTCCACACTCTAGACTTTGTTGCCATAAAATATCTTGAGTTTCTGAAAAATATAATTGTAACATCATATATTATGAATAAAGGTGTTAAGAAGGAAGTGATGTTAAGATATAGAATCTCTGTCTGATATCTATAGGAAGTACAATGCTTTTACTGGCTCAACACAACACATACCAAATTAAGTATAATTAATATGAAAGAACGACAAGTAAAATATTGAAGTCATCATTTGACTTACGTATTTTTATTTCTTCTTTCACATGCAATATTTTTAGACAATTTCATATCCAACATCAGTAGAATATATCATATACAGAGGGACACAGGCAGAGTCTGATGTTTTCATTTTAAATCACAACTAGGTAGCAACTATTGTGGTGGATGTTGTTTGTAGATCCAAATAGTTGTTCCAGGTAAAAGCAAGAATATTATCTTAAATATGTTGTATGACATTTTATAGGATATATATTTTCCTAAAATAACTCATCTTAATGATTTATGCATTAACTTTCTAATTGCCAAGATTAATATTTGCTTTAAGGGACAGAGAAAGACAACTTCAGTCTAGAAGACGCTCTCCAGTTTGGCAGTTCTGTTGTGAGACAATAATAGATCTGCCTACAACAGAACTTATAGTTTCACCCTACATTCTTGTGGTGAAATGATATGTGCATGATTTGTGTTTAGAAGGTACACAGTGTGTATCATATCTGGGATTGGCTAAGGTGTGTAATGAAGTCAAGCTGTATTGTAGGGCTTTCAAATTACTGCTCTCTGTGCAAGAGACACAGTGTTTTGGCTGTTCTGTGCTTCTATTTGGGTCATTTTCCCAGGTTATAGCATACGTATATGTCCCACTTTTATGCAGAAATACTGTGACATGTCTGACCGTTGCTGGGCAATGGGAGGTGGAATAAGTTACCAGGAAGACAGACCCTTGATAAACGGTCAGTTGCCAAGTTACGCAACAGTGGAAACGAGGTTATGCAACAGTAAGAAAAGTGGTGTTTCTCAGTGCTGTGCCAAGTAGAGCCGAAGTGAGCCAAGCCGAGCCGAAGCGCGCTGGTTGCTACGCAGCAATAAACAACTTCCGGCAGTGTTCCCCAGCAATGCCTATAAACACGGCATCGTGCAACAACTGTTGCTAGGCAGTCAGTAAACACGATGTTATGCAACAGCAGTATTTATCACGTAACTGTTTTCTGTGTTGTCCGTGCCGAGCCTAAATAAGGAGCAGCGAACACTATTCAGGAGTAGTGAGGACTGAGCCAGTTATGAGTGAGTGAGTTACTAGTGAGTAACGATTAACTAGTTAGTTGAAATATAGCAGCAGTCATGGAAAGAAGACCCGAACGCGTGGTGAGAATATTTTATGTGATAGTGCGCGATAACTGAGAAGTCAGCCAGTGAAGACTTAGTGAGTGCCTTCAAGACTTTGTGTGCACTGTAGTACAGTTATATTGGAAGTATGTAATTCACAGACTTGTATAGCTCCCACGTTATAAATAAATGAAGACTACTGAGGATAGAGTGAAGAGATTGTTGTGTGGGGTTTGTAAATTGTCTAAACCTGCAACAGTGTTTGTAGTTACAACTTGTAGATTGTTAAATAAACAAATTAACAATCTGAACGGTGTCTTAAGTGGCAAAACACGTTACAGTACTATTCATTGTGAAGACCAGTTGTCTGGCTTGGGAATTGTGTAAAATCAGGATACTCTTCCTTTATGTATGGATGTATGGGATTGATTGGGGGTGAGGAAACTGATAGCTCTCTTTGTGAGAAGTAACTACTCAATATTTTCATTATGTGAAGTCACAACATGCTTTCATGTGACTTAATATCATAGTCATATCATCATTTGAGCAACAACTGACTGAGAATGAAAATTAAGGGATTCTTATAGCACACTTATTTGTATTTCTAGGTAAACCAAAACCATGAGGGCCGGTACACATGTACACCATACAATGCACAAGGAACTCAGGGTTCATCTGGCCCAATGGAAGTGCTAGTCCGTAAACCACCAGTGTTCACTATTGAGCCGGATAGTCTCTATCAGCGTAAAGTGGGAGAGACAGTAGAAATGCATTGTGATGCTCAAGAGACTGAAGGTACTCAAAAACCAACCATCCAGTGGCAGCGGGTAAGCAAGTCATGTGGCGCCCTGACTAGATTTATATACATTTTACTTATGTATCTCAGTTAATTTTTTTTAATTTGGATCTGGATTTGCAATGCTAATTGGTAAATAAGGAGTTTCACTATAGATATGCAAACACTAATTTAAATCAGATCAATTTTGTGTGTAACACATGAAAAAAATAATTGTTTTGAGTTTGCGTCATCTTTGTAAATAACTAACAAAGTAAGGTGTTATTGTAAATTTCCCGGTGTAGGTCAGAAAAGAAAAGCTGGCTTAAATTACTCAATTATCTCCTTCATATCAAAAAAAGCAATGAGCATGGTCTTCGGTAAACTCCAGACCTGCCACGCCATTTTTGCTCTTGGTGATTGTGGGCTCTTCCAATGCAATGACTATTGCTTTGTTTTTGGATCATAACAGTAAATCCAACTTTTGTCACCTGTTATGATCCTTGAGATAAAAGTTGGGTCCGTGTTAGCCTTCTCTTGTGGCTCAAGGCACATGTTTACGTGTCCTTGCTTTTGATCGTTTTCTCAAGAGTTGGGGAACAAACTTCATAGCAGTGCAGCACATGTTCAAATTTACTGTTAAAATCTCCGACATTCCTCCAAAATGTCGGTTAATACCACATATACACGGTGCCAAATCCCAGAAGACTGCTTTCTTCAGCTTAAAGAATGTTCTCCAAATAGCATTTCAAGGGTTTTGGTAGCAGATTTACTGAGCTTCACGCAAAACTTGATGTAGACACATTTCTTGATTTTGCCATCCATTGCAGACAAAACAAAACACAAAGTGAAAAAAAGCACTCAGACTGGTGCAATAGGCTTGTGGAAATGTGACCTAGGCCTCCCCTCTCATCTTCTTTCACTGAGGCAATTGCAACAATAACAGTCTGGGAACTTTTTGATCTCTGATAACAGAGACCAAGGGTTGAATTCTGTTATTATGTAAATACTCTCTGTTACCTACATGCTTATCATATAGACACATGGTTTATGAATAATTCATTATCATTAAATTTTAACAAAACTATGTGCATTTTTCATCAAAAGTAAATACTACATCAAACATAAATTAAACTATAAGGATGTTCAAATTAAAAATACTTGTAATACAAAATTCCTAGGACTAATCATAGATAATACCTTGTCATGGAAAGATCAAATGAATCATTTGGTAACTAAGCTGATGCGGCTATTAGAACTCTATCTGTAGTTATGACTCAGGAGAGTTTGATGATGATTTTTTTGCATATGTACATTCCATTATGTCGTAAGGAATAATATTGTAACGTGTTTCGTTACCGAAGACGCCGTGGAGATCGTTAATTGGTTTATTCAACAATCTACAACTATCGGCTACAATTAATTATCACACAGTTGCGGGTTTCCACAGTTTACAAACCCTACTACAAAATCTCTTAACACAATCTTCACGAAACTTCAAGTACTAATAATGCGGGAGCTATACACGTCTCCCTGAATTACACACTCCGAATAAAACTGTAATACAGCACTCACTAAGTATCGAAAGCACACAATAAGTCTTCCGCTCGCTGACTTCTTCGTTATCGCACACTCGCAGGCTGCTATGTTTCAACTTGTAGTCGGCTGGCTGTTACTTTATAACTCGGAATGTCTTCGGCGGTAGCCACACTGGAACTCGAACTGATCGATACGCACTGTGCATCCACTTATATAGCTGCAGTGCTTGCCTGTGGCGTAATGAGTGCCACGTCACAGTAGGACGTTGATTACGGTTACGTTAGCGTTGCGCGTTACGTCACCGCGTGACGTCACCGCGGAGGGGAGTGGCGGGGAGCGCTACGTTACCGTGGAGAGGAGGGGGGAGGGGGGTTCTCAGTCGCGCAACATGTTACAATATTTTGGGGCAATTCAACTCACATTTAATTTAATTTTTAAAATCCAAAAACGAATAGTGAGAATTATTATGAAGGCAAGAAATAAGGACTCTTGTCTTCAGGCAGTTAAATATTCTGCCCTTATATTCTCAATATATATTTTCTGTATCAATTTTTGTTGTTAAGAATTTAGATATATTTCAGTTTAATTCTACTGTGCATAACATTAACACCAGACAAGGTTTTGACTTACATTTTCCAAGTAATAAATTAGCTAAAGTGCAGAAGGGTGTATATTATTCAGGAATTAAGATATTCAATAATCTACCACAAGGCATCAGGAATCTATTAAATGATATTACTAAATTCAGACAGGCTCTAAAAGAGTTTCTTCTTGCTGGTTCATTTTATTCTTTAAATGAATATTATGAATGGAACACAAGGGGTGATCTTGGTTCTTATAAATAGTATCTAAAATTAACCTTAACAAGTCCTATTAACTAACCAAAAATATATAAATAATCATCTATTTTAGATCTGCATACATACCAACTATGACTTTTATTTATTTTAACATACAATCTCTTGTTGTTTTATGAATTTATTTATTTATTTGTGAATGTATTTATTACCATAATAATTTTTAGTACACTTCTGAGAGAAGTTATTTATTCCATTTATTGTTCAGGCATGTTAGATGTTTTTATAGTTTTTCTTTTGTGTGAGTGATGTAACATACATTATTTGATATTTTGTTGTTTATTGAGAATATCCATTCATATGCATTGTTTTTATAAACTGGATGAATTTTATAAGGTAAAAGGTTAATATTGTAATGTGTTTTGCCACTGAAGACGCCGTTCAGATTGTTAATTGGTTCATTTAACAACCTACAAGTCTTGGCTACAATTAATTATAACACTGTTACGGGTTTACACAATTTACAACCCTACACAATAATCTGTCCACTCTGTCCTCAGTAGTCTACACGTATTCACAGTATGATATGGGAGCTATACCAGTGTCACTGTATTACACAATCCCAATTAGTTCTCTTGTGAGCCAAGCATCTGCTTCTCACACTATCACTTCTAATCACATGTTCTGGTATTCTTCTTTCTGCTACAACTGAACTCGGCAACTGTTCCCATTCAACTGTCTCCGGCGACGGCTACATTTCAACTGTTTCACTCCTGATCACACACTACTAAATAACTCTGAATAGTGTTCGCTGCTCCTTATTTAGCCTCGACACAGACAAGACAGAAAACAGTTACGTGATAGGTACCGCTGTTGCCTGACACCTTGTTTGCTGATAGCCTATCAACGCTGTCGGGAGTTGTTTACTGCTACATAGCAACCGCGGCATCCCTTGGTCATGTCAGTATGGGAGGGGGCGGGGCGTTGACTGGCCTATTACCATAGCAGCGACAACGCTCTGAAGGTGTTACGTCACCGCTGGCGGGGGAGGGGGTGTCCTGCATAGCGCAAATACATCACACTGCTACCTTTTAAAGGTTCGTCTCGAACAGCCTAATGGTACACCCCAGTTCCTTTTTCTTCCCGCTGCTGTGCTTGCAGTGTCTCCTGTTTCGGCTACTCCTCTTTCAGCGAGTATTCTCCGTCCTTTACATCTGCTCCCCTCTTAAGACCAGCTCATCTTGAGCGGTTTCCTGGTAACGTGCCCGAAGATCCAGTTGCATCACATTCATCCATTGCGCATTCACTCTTGCTTGGGAGCCCGGTACTTCTGCGTTACAGGCTCCTCCTCAATCCATTGTTTCTTTTTCCCACTTTGGAGGTGATCAACCCCTCCACAAGGTCCAATTCTTGATCATTACTTATTATTATTATTATTGTTGTTGTTGTTGTTGTTGTTGTTGTTGTTGTTGGAGGGGGTGGGTTTCCCCATGCACTGTGACCAGTTGTTGATCTATTGTACGTCCCCCTTTGATTCTCTACCAGTCTCCATACCCTACCGGTACTGGTGTGTGCTATCAGACTCACTGAGCCAACGAGGTCGGCCCTCGGTACTTTAATACTTCCCCCATCTACCAGAGGCATTTGAAACTACTTGGGCAGGAAATTGTTGCCTAATTCAGCTCAGAGGTCCCCTAGAGACATGGGGTTCTTTTATGTGCTGTAAATCTACGACACAGGACACACGGCTTAAAGTCCTTCCCAGAGGACTTGTTCCCTGAATTTTTCCACCCTTAAAAATTCCATGACCCCTGCCGGGTTTTAACCCATGTACCTTGAGTCATGAGGTGGGAACGTTACTCCTAGACTACGGAGGCCGCTTGATCATTACTTTCTTCAGAAGTTTCTTATGTTGACGTAACAGCACTTGAAGTGTGGTTTGAACGTACTGACATCGTCGTTCCTTCTATTCTTCCCACCACTTGCTGGTACGAGACTGTGACGCAACAGTGCCCACTGCTGATTTCTCTATGCTGCTACGGGCACCCCGCAATGGTTGAGACTCATCATAAGGCTGCTTGCAGAGACGGTGTAGACAATTGTCGATGGCCAGTTTCTTTCTCCGGCATCTGAAGGTTCCCTGGGTAGTTTCCTTTTTGAAGGCATTTCTCCAACGTCATGCCACTGTTGCACAATGGGATACCTTCCTGCAGGTGGCAGTCAACTTCATCCGGGATACATAATCTCCTCGGGTCCAAGATTTCCTGAAGATGTTTCTCCGATGCAATGCCACTGTTGCATGGTGGGACACCTTCCTGCTGGTTTTCTTCTGCCATGCCACTTCCACGCAGCATCTCGTCCCTCTGTGGGCCACGTCCAACTTCTTCTGGGGTCCACAATTTTCCCGTGTCGAATTCTTTATTTGTCGCTTGTTTCGGTCCCTATGCATTTTCTTCTTCGGTTCTCCAACCAGCATTACTTCAGCATCTTCTACGGGTACCTCTTGTTGGTCGGCTGCCTCAGCTTTCATGTCCACTGAGGCTGGCTCTTCTTCTTCTGGACGTACCTCCATTTCTCGGCAGGCCATCATCACTCCAACTGGTATTGCAATGGGGACCTCTTCTTGTTGTGCCGCGGCAGGTTTCCTGTCCACTGAGGCTGGCTTTTCGTCTACTAGACATGCCTCCATCTCTTAGCAGGCTATCGTCTTTACGTCTCTTTCAGGTTTAAATGTGGACACCATCTCCATGTTGCTGGTTCCCATTTCTTCTCATATGGCAGCTGTCCTTGCTTGGATTGCTCTCGTCTCTGCGGCAGTCTTTTCTCGCCGGGCGGCCATCTCTTCTTGCCAGGCTTTCGAGTCAGCATCTACCTTATCTCAGTTGGCGTCTAATTTGGCCATTAAATCTGCTTTGTCTTTTCTTCTGTTGGCCTCCATTTCATCCTTCTCGGCCTTCCTATCAGCCTTCATCTCTTCTTTATGGGTTTTCATGTTGGCATCCATTCTTGCCAGCATTTCCTCTTTGTCTTTCTTCCTATTTGCCTCCATTTCTACCTTCTAGGTTTTTCGTTCGGCCTCTGCCTTCGCCTGGATGGCCTCTAATTTGGTCATTAAATCTTCTTTGTCTTTTTTTTTTCTATTGGCCTCCATTTCGTCCTTCTCGGCCTTCCTATCAGCCCTCATCTCTTTCAGGATTTCCTCTTTGTCTTTCTTCCTATTTGCCTCCATTTCTACCTTCTCGGTTTTTCTATCGCCCTCTGCCTTTGCCAGCATTTCGATTATTCGCTGCATCTCCATTTTGTAGCAGTCAAGTACTCGATGCACAATGATTAATGTGTGGCATGTTTAAGTTCTTAGACAATTCTGACTCCAGTGTAACATGTTTTGCCGATAGCCTAGCAACGCTGTCGGGAGTTGTTTACTGCTGCATAGCAACCGCGGCATCCCCTGCTACGTCTCTGCGGGGAAAGGGGGTGGAGTGTTGAATGGCCTGTTACCATAGCAGCGGCAACGCCCTGAAGGTGTTACATCACTGCTGGCAGGGGAGGGGGTGTCCTGCATAGTGCAAATATGTCACAATATGTTTTCATCTAGTATTTAAGTCTTGTAGCCACATTTTATTATGTTTAGTGACTGTTGTCTGTGTTTTATATTATGTTATTTTGACTTGTTCCAGTGATTGGTTGGAACATCTGTTTTGATTTTTGATGCATTCTATATCCAGTAGTGTGACAACTTGTTTCTTGCCCTGTAATTGGATCTACTTGAATATAAGAATAAATTATTATTATTATTATTATTATTATTATTATTATTATTAAATGTTTAAATATTCAGTATCATTGTAGTGTAATTTTTAATCCTCTATTTATTTTCAAGGGGGGACATTAATCTTGTTTAAATATGCAAGTCTGTTTCAGTTTGGGAATGCATCATATTGTCATGTGTTACTGACCAGACAAGGGGTTTGATTTGATAACTGGATTTTATTGAATGCTTACAACTCATAACTAAAAATAATCATAAAGCTTTCAGCAATCTACACACTCTACAAATCACTATTGTAAACACTAGGTCTTCTATTTGTTATTCGGTCATTACGAGTTGTTGCTTGGCAGTAGCACTAGCAATGCAAGTCAATACTTAACCGCTGACTTGGACCTGCCAACTGACTGACTGAACTGTTGACTTGGCTGGTGTCCTTGTTCTATAACCTTGACCTGGACCACATAGGGAACGCTGCTTCCAAGATTTTGTCTATTGTTGCATGTTTATTGATTGCTATGGGAACATGTCTACCATGCAGTCGCTTAACAATGGCTGCTTTTATTTGTCCCAATTTACAAATCTCCTAGACAAGATAAATCTGGTTCTTCCTTCCTCTCCCTCACCCCCTCTCATTGTGTTGGTTAAATCAGCTTGTTCACCTTGAAATGAAAAGGTAGATTTACCCTTGGACATAAGAACCATATTGTGATGGTGCATAATCCACATTGAGGTAAGATCCCAGCAGTAGATGGAAGTGAAGGTTAACTCTAATCTGGTTGCTTTACCCCCATGGGGAAGAAAGTCTGGTACCCATTGTGTAGGTGGGTTTATAGGCAACAGAGCCAATTTGGATGTGGTGCCAGAGAGAAAGTCCTTCCTTTGCCATAAATGAAACCTGACCATCCACCATTCCATAACCAAGCACTTTACTGACTGATTTCCCCTGGCAACGAATGCTCAAACAGAAATTAAATTACAAGATTGAGCTTTTCTGGTCTGAAAATAAATACCTAGAACTGATGACTACAGGACAAGATAATATAACCCAGAGGGTATATTTGTTTCTTCTTTTCACTGTTCATCAGAGGGATGGCTCTCCTCTTCAACGAAACCGAGTCCGTGTGAGTGGTGGTAACATAACAATTGAAGGCCTTCGAAGAACAGACTTTGGATTTTACCAATGTGTGGCATCCAATGAGGTGGCAACAATTGTCACTGCAACACAGCTTGTTGTGGAGGGCACACAGCCCCATGCACCATATAATGTCTCTGCAAATGCTAGTGAAACAGCTGTCACACTTCGATGGTTGCCTGGATATAGTGGTGGACCTGATTACAAGCAGGACTACACCATCTGGTATGTGTTATCACCCCCCTCCTTTTCTTTTTGTTTGGTTGTGTAATGATATCATCAGTGTTGAAGATATGTACCATTTATGAGACAGTTTTGTAATGTAATGTCCAAGAGGATTTCATTGCATTCAGCAGCCATGAATGCTTCAAATTCTATATATGTAGACTGATTATATTTGTATCTGCAATAAATGAATACCAAGACAAATGAGCTACAAAAATCAGCAAAGCCATCGTTTAGGAAATATGTGTACTTCAGATGACAGAACGCCTTTCCACACTTTCACTTCAGGTACAGGGAAGCTGGAGTGTCAGATTGGTCCACTATTCCAGTAACACCCCCTGGAAGCACACAGGTTACAATAAACAGGCTCTCATCAAGCACCACTTATGAGTTCCAGGTAGTTGGAAAGAATGCTCTTGGTGATGGTATGCTCAGCAAGGTTATCACAGTCCGAACACTTGGTGAGTGACGTGTTATTCTCTGCTATATGCTTTCTCATATAAACTGTATGAAGGAGAGCCAATAAATAGCTCACAGATGGAAGTAAAACAGCTGTAATGGATGAGATAGTTTTTCTATGTGTAGCACTAGGTAGCAGCACAGTCCAGTTTTATGACAGTTTAGGTAGCAGATGCACATGTGCATGTTCAGAGGTTGGTTTCTATATTCAGAATGGCAACCATGCTTGAGGTATATCCTACCAAAGAGCAGCGCTCTGTTGTGCATTTTTAGAGGCAAAAGGGGTCAAATGCAAAGAATATTCACACACACTGGTAAAGTGATGGGACAAGTGTATCAGTATTAGTGGAGGATATGTTGAGAAATACATTTCCCCCCCCCCAGTTTCAGATATCACATGTTTTACATTTTATATCCATTTACATTTACATTTATTTTCACTTCATGGATCCAATCATCTCCCCGTAGGGCTGGGTATAAAACATGTCACATATTACATATTCATGAAGACTACACATCATTCGTTCTTTGTCCAATAAAATATATAATCAGGCCTCTCACAGACAGCTCAAGTTGTCAGGACAACACACATGGGTCGTGGAAAAACCACTGTCAAATTCACACCTTGCCATTCCACACACACTGGCAAGCTGTATCATTAAAACAGTTACATTAAAATTCATAACAAAAACAGACATTGTACATACTAGTACACTTACAACAAACATGCCTCAACAATATATAATTCGTGCACAGACCATTTATTAACTCTTAACTTTTGAGGCCCTTGCATGCTCGACAAATTCATCAATAGAGTAAAATACGTTACTTTGCAAATAATTTTGTAAAAAACCTAAATCGCTTTTTATTTTTTTTAACTGTGATATTTGACAGCAGAGTGTTAAATAGCTTGATGCCTGAATAATACACCCCTCTCTGATAGGATGATATATATGTGTTGAAGGTATGTGAAGGTGGTCATTCTTTCTGGTACCAATCACATATACAGAGTTACTGGTTTGAAACTTATCCAAATTATTAATAACAAATGTCATCAATGAAAACAAATATACACATGGGATTGGTAGTATGTTAAGCTTTTTAAATAGATTTCTACATATATGAGTTGGGCCCACTCCCATCATTATTCTTATTATTTTCTTTTGAATAACAAAGACCTTATGGCTGTCTGATGTATTTCCCCAACATATTATTCCATATTTCACCAATGAATAATAATATGTTATATTTTAGCGTCCTGTTGCACTGATTTAAGTCCATGATTTATTTAATCCGTCTTGCAGTGCATACACTCATTTTTCTCCTTCTCTCCCTCGCACTACATGTTTCGGCATAATAATGCCATCTTCAGGTGCTTACTTATCCACGTCAAACCAGTTCATTGCATGCCATGTTCACACATTAAAATAACTAAAATATGTATCTATCATATACATTGTCCACCGTTAAAAATATTAAAATTGTTCAGGATACCACATCGCTACGTCGCCCCTCACTACGTCAGTCACGCCCATTCTCCTTTGTTGGAGCACTCCTATACACACATACCCAGGAAGCCCAACAGTATAACACACGCAGTCGCAGGAGCACGACACAACAAAAGCACGACACACAAGATAGTGAAGGAGTGCTCCAACAAAGGAGAATGGGCGTGACTGACGTAGTGAGGGGCGACGTAGCGATGTGGTATCCTGAACAATTTTAATATTTTTAACGTTGGACAATGTATATGATAGATACATATTTTAGTTATTTTAATGTGTGAACATGGCATGCAATGAACTGGTTTGACGTGGATAAGTAAGCACCTGAAGATGGCATTATTATGCCGAAACATGTAGTGCGAGGGAGAGAAGGAGAAAAATGAGTGTATGCACTGCAAGACGGATTAAATAAATCATGAATAATAATATGCCTAATATACAGCTTTAAGACTATTTATATTTAATATATAGGATAATTTTCACATTAGAAAACAAACTGTGCTCAACTTGTGAAGCAAAAAATTGATATGTCCCTTACAAGTCAGAGGACTGTCCAGCTGCAGACTGATAAATTTTATTGTTTCTACTTCTTTCAGCTTTTTGTTAAAAAACAATGTATATAGAGGATAGCTCATAACTGCTGTTGGGGTGAATTTTATCATTTTTGTTTTATCCAGATTTAACACTAATTGATTACTTTGAAACCATGTAAACATGTGATTAAAAAACATCCAATTTTATTTTTAAAGTATAGTAGTCTTTAGCTGTGCAAAGAATACTCGTGTCATCTGCAAACATAATAACTTCCGAAATTTTACTTGTGACCTATTTTCTGATTCTCCCTTGTATTAACAACATTCACTGCAGATGTTTAGTGTATGGTTTATAAATTTGTGTCTCATTCAGTATTTTAAAAGGCAGTGATAGCCATTCTAAATTTAACCTTTTGGAAGACACAGCTCAGTTATTTGTAATTCCATGGTTATGCACAAGTATTAGCTGCTTCAAGTTACAAATTGTCTGTTTCTCTCCTCTGAGGTTATTGAACTCTTTTACTGTGTCATTCTGCCATCTGTTGGCTGTAAAAATGACATATTTATTCTTGATTTCCATCAAAACATTGCTCTGTAAAAGCAGATAATGATGGTATGCGTAAGCAGATATATTCAATTTAACATAATCCTGTGGTAATCAATGTTTTAAGGAATTTTACACACTGAAGACCAGTTAAGAATCAGTATATTTAGTTTAATTCTCTGATCATTTTAGAGTAAAACAGAAGAGAAAATACTGAAATCCATCCAGCCAGACATGATACATAACTTCAAAAAGCAAAATGCACAGAATTGTCTAGGAGTGGGATGTCCTGTCTATCAGAGGGTTAAAATGCTGCACCCTTAGCTGCATCCAGTGCAGTGGAAAATAATATTGTGACATCACACCTGAAAGCCAGATTAGTTAGCGAGAGGTGCATGCACATAGGCTAACAGATGAACCACATACAAGTATACTGTTACATCACTGATCTGCAAGATATCAGTTTCTTAAGAATTTATTATTTATTTGAAAAAATAGTTTCAGCTGTATATGCTGTTTTGCATTTTGTGTTTAAAAAATTTTTACTTTTGTCCCAGATTTCTGTAAGAGTGAATTGAATGTTATGATCATATTTTATAACTTCCCTGAGTGCAAAACACTGTAACTTAAACGTTTGTAACTCAGGGGTGTACTGTATAATGAATGATCTTTGCTTTAATTTACTTAATAGTGAATGAAGAAAACAGTTTTTTTCTTGTGTGCACATCTATAGTGATTGAGATACATTTGCTTTTTTGGTGATGAAATGAAGATCAGGCTCACATTGCATCGTACTTTAAGAAACCTGATGATATATACTTTACAGTGCAAAATGTAACCAAAAGGCTAGAGATGACAGCATGATGTGTTTTTCTCTGGTCAGTAGTTGATCTGTTGCATTGAAACCCACACTGATGATCCCCATTAATTTCATCTGTGTATGGACTTAACCTTGAGAGAAGGGTGTTGAGTAAAATTTTGTATGAAGTTTATAGCAGTGATATCCCACAACAATTACTACAGTCAATTTTATCACCCTTGTAAATTGGTACCATAGTGGACTCCTTCCACTGATCAGGCAGTTCCTCCATATTCCAAATAGAACTAATGAGTTAATGGATCTCACACAATAATATTTCATCTCCTGCATGAATCAGTTCTGCCGGAATTTAATTACTACTCGACGATTTACAAATTTTCAAATTTGCAATAGCAATTTCAGGTACTAATGGCTCAGCTGTATGGATTTCTGTCTGCCTAACATCACTGACCCTATGTACATTCAATAATTGAGAGAAGTAGTTCTTCCACCTACTCAAAATGTTGTGGGAATCTGCAAGCAGGTCACCATTCCCATCGTTCACTAAGTTGTTTCTAGGTTGTTAAACTCTCTTAAATTCATTTAGTCCTCTATATTGGTCTCTAATGTTCTTGTTCTTACTGTTTAATTTTGTCTTTCAGATATTCCATCTTTTTTTTCTTTTCTTTTTTTCTGAAATGCCTGCTGGTTTCGCATCTTATACTGTTCAGGTTATCCCCATGTATTTGGCTTGGATCCTGTAGCCACTGCAATTTGACTTGTTTCCTTTTATCAAATATTCATATTCATATTTTTATTGGTTCCAGAAATCCACATTTTGCAATACAGCCTCCAGATACAGAACAAGTCAAATCATTTGTATAAAAGTCAACAATACTATAATAATTTAAGTTGACTGTACAGTTCTAACCAGTTCATTTCCTGATGGTTGGTTAATGTAAATATTAAATTAACTAAAATATTATCATTATTCATACAATTATAGTATATTGTCATGGGTTAGTGGCTAAACGCAGGGTTTGGATCAATAATTATTTAGACATTTATTTAGGTTGCAGTGTTTTGCCCTCAGGGAAATTATCAGATGTGGCCATAAGATTCAATTGAATTCACTCTTACAGAATTCCCCCAGGTAAACTATGCTTAACCAAACATAATTACAACAATTTTACTGTTCTTCACAGTCTACAGTTAACTACAAATCTGCTCTGTCTTCACCTACTCATTGCTTGTTGACAGCCTCCAGTATTGGGAACTGTCCCTATTACTTCTGTACTTGATGGCTCCCTTTATATAACTCTGATGGGGACTGATTAGAAAACACAGCCCTCAGCAGTTCCTGTACTGTTATGTGTGTATTGCTGAGGAACCTTGTTTTAACAAGTAATTGTATAGCAACAAGTGCCTCTGTGATGTGCCTGTGGCTCCAGAATCCAGACTTTTGGGTGTCATGTTGCAATATGATACATTATTTAATTTGTAAGTGACATAATAATGTTGACTGTCAAATTTGATATCAGTATAATATTCAGGTTGCAATCAGGGTTGAAGGGATATGCTGTGAAATATGTTTCATGTCATGTGAAATAATATTTGACTTACCTACTTTTACATAAATTGAAGAATTCCTAAGTAATAATAACCATAATCTTTATCATATTAAAATCCATGGATAATCTGTAGACAGTAGTATGGATTTGTGGTGCAGTTTCAAAATTTTCATAATTGTAATCTGGTTTCTACACCAAATTTATTCTGATAATATAACACTATATTAAATCTCTATTTTTAATATGTAGCAGTATATCTTGGTTCTCAGTTTGATCTGTGTAGTTGGAACTTTACACATCTCTGCCATACATCTGTCATTGTCTCATGCACTTTCTCCTTTTTACTTTTGTAATTTGAAAGCATAATGGAAACTGGAGCAGATCACTGTTTACTATGTACTGCATACTAAGCCTGACCTGTTACTGTTAACAGTATCCAGTTGTTTTAAAATTATAAAAGATTATGAAATAGGGCAGCCATTGGAATCTGTATTAAGAGTTACTACTTTGGTAAATGAATGAAGTCCCTATCCAGTCCAGCACAATGGAAAATGTGATTTTTGTTATCCATCTGAATTTGAAGCTAGATTAATGACAGTATGTCATATTTTCCTGAATATAAGATGATTTCTCCCAAGCTCAGCATCTGAAGAACAAGGATTATTTTGTGGTAGTTAATGAAGCAACATAATTTATGGGAGTGAAGAAAGAAATTTCCATTGCCCTTCCTGGATCTGACCTGGCCATACATTCTGTAGCTAGTCTTGTTGTTGAGTGATCTAATATAACTGCATCAATTATCTTAGCGCCTTCTAAAAAGAAATGCTTCAGAACTTGCTGGAATGTTGTCATATTTCTTGTGTTGCTTGTCAGATATAGATAAATCAGAAACGTGATTATGTGAGTATATACATCCTTGTTCTACTTTCCTGATTTCAGTGATTTTATAGCTAAGTATAATGTCAATATACTGTGTCTCAGTGGTATGAGATAGCATTTTAGTGTCCTAACATTTAATTCTTACTGTGCCTCAAGATGCTTCACAGTAACTATGTATGCCAGTGCAGTGCATGAGATGAACATTTTTGTACAGTGATATTATTTATGTATGATTTTCATCCAATTATAAGATCACAAATTATCATAAGGAGAGTGAAAGTAAAAAATTTATAGAAATATCAAGTGTAGTTTGTTGAGGAACCAATTGGAAGATATGGAACACAATGTGATCAGGTGTTTCAGTAGAGAGACATGTTGTCCCCTCATTATTAAGTAATATCATGTTCACAGTGTGATTGTTTAGTGTTCCATGACATATATATATAGCAGCAATATGGTGTCAGTTTCAGTAGACCATTTAGTTGATTTCATGCACTGCAAATATAATTCTGTGAACTAATCGTGCCTTCCTGCTTCATTCTAGTTCCTTAGTACTGTCTTGCTCCTTGCCACATAGGTGCACATTGCTGGCTGTAAGGTTGCCTGGCCTTGGTTTCTCAGATTCAAAATTTGAAGTATTTGTATTTCTCTGATGAGTGACATGCTGTTTATACTATCTGTCTGCCTGTCTGTCTATCTGTGTCATCTTTCCAGCTGTCTGTCTATGTATCTATCACTATTTAGAAAGAATTGTTAGTGTCAGTTTAAAATTTGAAAATATAAGAGCCATATCAGGAAATACGTGCTACTATTAATTTCATAATCATCTCTCTGAAAAAAAAATTAAGATTCAGATTTATAAAATTATATTTCTACCTACTTCTTATGTGGGTGCAACATTTTATTTTCAAACCTGAAAGGAGAACAAAGTACATGGGAAGAAAATGCTGAGGAGACTATTTGAACTAATAGTAAATAAAGTAATGACAGACTGGAGGATCTTCAAAATTGGTATTTTTGACCTGGTATTGTACTAGTTATTAAATGGAAAATGTTGAGGTGAGAAGATACAGTATATAGCATACATATGAAGACGCAAAATGTGTACAAAATTTGGGTTGGAAAAATCCTGGAAAGAGGTCACTTCATAGGCAGAAAATAACTTTAAAAAGTATTTTAGAGAGACAGATGTTTAGGTGGACTCAAGGGCATAAGAATGAGGTACAATGTGTTATAGAGACATAGAATGAAGCGTGAATTGTGCACTGTTCATACAGTGCAGGATTGTACACTAAATGTGAACATATTTCCTGTGAAGACGTCTTGCAGCCTAATTTTCTTTCCTTGGGTTGGTCTGATTTCTCTTTGGTTTCCACGTACGTTGATGTAGGTATATCTTCCCCGCCTCGGGTTGGCACACCAGAATTCCCATCTGCAACAGTGGACTATGGTAAGATCTTCCTCATTGGCAGGCACTTCTGTCGATTGTCACTTCCTGCTTATTTTTATATCTCTCAGCTCTTAGTTTTGCCTTAAGAGTTTGTTGGAGCCATCATTCATTAAGCACAATTACACAGTTACATCCTGGTTTGGGGACTTATTTGTACTGTCTGTATCACTGACACTTAAACATCTAGACATAACAGTTGCATTCATGTCTGTTATATGATTTATAGAAAGTTGTTCATCTTTTGGCATAGAATTCTGAAACAATATGAGTTATAATATTTAAAACAAATACCTTAAAAATATCACAGTAAATGAGAGTAGAATTTATTTACACTGTATATCATACTTAATTTTGTGGATGGTAACTTCATCTGTGGTCAAGCAAATAAACTATTTTGAGTTTAAGTCATGCAAGATTCACACTCATCAAGGCTGCTTAAAATTCAACAAAATGAACAGACTTTCATATCCATCAACATATACCATTGGATTAGGACATATTCTTAAACTGCCCAGATGAATTTGCAAAATAAATGTGTTACATAAATGAAGAAAAAGACTACAGTGTCTGGAATTCTGAGTTTACGTTATTTTGTTTTCATTCTTGTATTGTGACATCTTATTGTGATGGGCAATTATCCAGCATTTCAGGGAACAGGACTGTTTTTGTTTGCTGGTATCCTTTGCCTTTTAGATATGGTGGTAATAAAAGAATCCAAATACTCCCACTTGGAATTAAGTCCCAGGCTGTGGTGCCCTCATGACATTATGCTACTGGTGTTTGATGGTTCCACTAAACTGCCCTTCTCTGTCCTGTGTTTCTCTGCTTGGCCTCATGTGTTGTTTTGGGTTTCCTTTCTTTGACAGTTGGCATTTTCTTAGAGATTTCACCCAGTTTTGATTGAGATGTGGTTGTATGTTGAGTGTTTTATTCACATGTTAGTCTTCTCTCACACTGCTGATGACAGTGATGATATGGTTCATAATTTTTATCTCTGATTTCTTTTACTGTGCTGTCAGTATCTCCGACTGTATAGCATCAGATTTTAGGATTATCAATGAACAATGAATTTGAAAGCATTTAGAAGAAAGCAGTCATGGTCTAATTGAGTAACCATCCTAGCATTTACCAGGAAGGACCAAAAACCATGACAGACCTCAATCAGGATAGCCAAGATTCAAACTAAGCACCTCCTGAGTACAAGTCTAGAACATTAATGCTACATCAACCTATGCGATGAGTTAATAAAACATAGACTGTTAAAACTTTCATGGTGTCATAGATTAATCAAGTCTTCTCAGTGTAAAGGGTTTATTGATTAGTGGGTTATTTAATGACATTTTCTCAAGAATTTTGGCCAACTTTAATGCAGTACTCCAAATTTTCATAGGAGCTGAGGGAAACCATGGAAATCTGTCTGGGTTAAAACCCAGAACCTCTCAAATACACGTAGGAATACTAACCAAATGACCACTATGTTTGATCTCAGAATATGAACTGTGTAAGCTATTTTCTATTTAAATAAAATAATGTCACATTTTGGTAGCAAAAGTAATTCTGTGAGATAGGCTCAAGCAGTTAGTCGCTGGCTTCCCACCATGGTGGCCCGAGTTCGATCCCAGATCTGGTCAAGTGGGATTTGTGGTGGACAAAGTGGTGCTGGGGCGGGTTTTCTCTGAGTACTTCGGTTTCCCCTGCCAATCTTCATTCCACCAAATTCTCCATCATCATAATCACCTGGGGCAGGCTACAATAGGCCAATCAGTGGCCTCCGTGCTGCATGGACTCAGTTGGACTCAACCCCCCACTAAGCGAATTAAAAAATTAAAAATAAAAAAAATCCTGTGAGATGGTTACTATCTCTTCTTAAACAAGTATGGGCATATTTTTTAACATATTTGTCACCCTGTAACGTCACTTAAAACTTCAAAGCCCTAAGTTAATACGTTGATATTTTATTGAAATTTTTAGACTGAGAAATTAAACAAAATGAATAATTGACAATATTAACCAAGATTTTTGCCCACATTCTATATTTTCTCAGGGTTGGACTGATGCAGTCCATAGAAAGACTGAAGAACAGCTTTTAATATACAGACGGTATAGCTTATTTCTCTAAACGTGGGACCAGATTATTAATTTTCATTCTTATACTTGGTAATCCTTGAGTTAAAAAGAACCTGACAGGTGGTGAATGTTGTAAGTTGTCTGAAACATGAGAAACAGAAGTTTCTTTACCTTGTTTTTGCTAGTGACTTGATTCTTGCTATTTATTAGCATTGTAGATAAACAGAAACAGCATATTTTAACATCAGCAGTGTGAGACTAGTAATTCTTACTGAAGGATAATATGAAGTGTTTTTATAGCCCTCTTTCACGACTTTCAATTGCTGTTCTCTTCTTTGACACTTAAGTTGTGAAGTAGAAGGCTGAATGTGTCTGCTTGCACCTGTAGGCCAGATGAATACAAATGTCAACTCTCGATTATCCGGGGGCGGATTAACCGGTTTGCGGCTTNACATGTATCAGATATATTTACTGAAATCACGCAGTAAACACGTTGATATCTAATGCAAAAAAATACAGTAAAGGTCACTAAAGAGAAACATTTCAACATAGAACAACAATATATTTTCAGCTTAAATAAGAAATTTAATTTATGATTATTCCATGGCAAATAAGTTGCCCATAATCTGTTCAGTTATAATTTTTAAAAGCATACCATTGTCAGGTGGGCTGTTTCTCCACTGATTTTCAAAGCTTGTAGTTTCATTTACTGCAGTTCAGAGGCATTGATGATGTAAATTTCTTTAATTTATTTGTCACGTTTGACATATATCTCTGTCATTGTTTGATTTATCAATGAATTGATTTTGTAAATATGAGTACTGTAAAAGAGTCAATTTATAGGATGTTTGTTTTTTTATATCAGGCTGTACTGAACAATTTCTTTATGTGAAAGTGTGGAAAAATTTAGTTTGTTACTGTCTGGTTGTAGAATGGAATAAGTGAGATGTTCATGCTTAATTTTCACGTCTGATAATGTGGTACTGCTGCTGAACATTAGGGCCAGGAGAACAATGAATCTGTATGTATGTTTGTTACACAGTGTATTCAGGGAATAACTGCAGTCTTTGTGGATGTAATGGTAATAGAATATTTCTTAAGAAAAAAGCTGTTATGTCTCTTTGCTCTAAAAACAAGGAAGACAGGTAGCAATGAAGTTATTTAACAGAAACAAGGAATTTAGTATAGTAAGAATACCATACATTTTTAAAAAATTCAAAGCGGAAGTGCATTTGTGTCTGATACTTCATTGCACAGCCTGAATGAAAAAATAAGTAGTGGGCCACACTGGGCCATACAATGCAAGTATCTTGTGATCTGTTGTACATCCCCTTCCCTTCCCCCAACAATCCCACACTTCAAACACAAAGCAAGTAGGCAGTCATTTGGTTCCACAGAATAATGGCCCAGGTGATGAAATGTAAAGTAAACTGTAGCCTCATAGTCACACAGGATATGTGAGGTTGCTTCATTTTTGTTCATGCACCTTGCGCAAATGGAATTATGTGTTAGTTTCAATTTATATATGTCCTTTTAGATGACTGTGCCTTTTTTTATCAGGTTCCTATTTAGTTTTAATAGTTCCTTTTTGGCTATGGATCCTTGTAGGAAGCCCATCACATGTTTGAGTCCTGTTCTAGTCTGTTATAGCACAGCTTAGTGCAGTGTTGAACTGTGCAGCTGTACAATTTGACTGTGCCTCTGCCTCCATGCACCAACCCAGGGAGAAGACCACAGCTGAATGACCTAAGGATTTTAATTTGTATCTGTGCAATGAATGTTGACTTGAATATATATTGACACAAGAACGAAATTATTATTATTATTATTATTATTATTTAGCAGACTCTGCTGTCAGAAGCTGTGAATTTTATTGGTGTCGTTGTTCATTTGACAATGGTAATTAATTGGCTTGTAGCATTTCAGTATAAGCCCCATTTTAGATGCAGCTCAAATATAATTTTATCACTTTAGTGCAAAATGACTCATTATAGGAAAGATAACAAAAACAGCTTCTGTTTTAATCATTTTCCAGTGCATCATGAATTCAGTGAAATACAGAAGAATAGTTTATGTCTGTGTAATACTGTCTTTGTAATATTAGATCTGAGTATGCAATACATAAACATCTATGGTCAATGAGGCACGGGAAAAAAAAGGGGTGGGGGGAAAGGAAAAATAATGTGTATACGTGTCTTTTACTCCAAATTTCAGTGTCCATTTCCAGCTTTGTTATTTTCTGAGGTAACTAGGAAACTGTTACTGGTACTGACTAGAATTCATTCCTTACTTTTCTCATCATCCTCCAAACAAGGGTGATCATTATTGAAAGTGTTCTGCCCTTATATTTTATGTTTGTGTGAATTTCAGCATATATTTTCAGATCCCTAATGCTAAATCATATCAGAATTTATAAAATAATTTAGTTTTAGTAACAGCAATTCAAGTATGTTATTTGTATTATATCATAGTATCTGTCTCACTTCTGAGATGGTATAGTGCAGTCAGTATAGTGACTGGCTATGGGCTGGATGACTGAGGAGTTGGAATTAGATTCCCAGTAGGGGCAAGAATTTTCTCTTCTCCACACTTACCTCTGAATATTAAATTGTTATCTAAAGACTTTAACCAATTCAAATCTTCATTGAGAAGCCATCTCACTGAACATGCATTTTATAGCATTGATGAATTTTACAAAGCAACTTCCCAATAAATACCTTTATATTATTTAGTTCATAGTTGTAATTTACTTTTATTACCATATTTGTATTCTATGTAAAATTGTTTCAGATGACTACTGTAAGATTTATGACATGTATATGAGATTTACTATTATAGTATTGTTTTATATTTATGATGACAGTTTCTATATCCTGTAGGTCATTTGACCTTGAATGGATGAATGGAATGTAATGAAATAAAATAATAATAATAATAATAAAAAGAGCTGGCTCTGAGGCCCACCCAGCCTCGTATCCAGTGGGTACCAGGGTTCTTTTCCTGGGAGTCAAGCAGCATGAAGCTGACCACTCACATCCAAACAGTGCCAAGGTCAAGAAAACATTGAACTTTACATCCACTCCTCCATGTGCTTTCATGGCACGGTGATTAATTAGTTAAGCACAGGGACAGTTTTATATTTTATGTGTCTTTAGTGTCTAAGTTTTCTTCTGCTGGAGAGAATGCAGTTAATATTGCTCAGCGGAAAGAATTAGCACTTACACACTGAATCACTCCTCTTCTATGGTATTGTTTAGAAGAGTGAAGCAGGACATGTTGAAAATTCGTTAAAGTGATGAATATGCCCTTTATTAATTTATTTTGTTAGTTACCAGTTTTGTTTCCACACTTATGTTGATGTGTTGTACCCTCTGTCCCATTTACTAATTTCTGTATATTTGTAATCCCTGTCCAGTTTCCTGAAGGGTGGTTTTATTATACAGTAAACTATTGATTATCCATGGTAAAAGTGGGGTTAAGTAGCACAGGTAATTAAAAACAACATATAATTCAGAGATATAGAAATATCTACTGTCCATGCTGCATTTGTTTATTACTTGAAACTAATCTTTTGAAATTACATCTTTCTAGCTATTTTCGCAGTGCACTCAAACTTCATTGCATTTGCATGAGTTTCACATCATGCTTAACACAAAAATAAAATAACTTTCTGCACTTAAATGTAATTTTTTCTTGTTGTCAATACCACACAATTTTCTGTTCTGCTGTTTTTTATCTAGGTACAGAATAAATTAAGTGGGGTTAAATTACACTACTGACTAAATTCAAGAATAATAAATAAAAGAAAATTGCACCATAAGTATAAATTAAATGTGAAAGTGTAAGGAACACTATCCCACAGAAATGTTAAATAGAATATGATGGCTGTATCAACACTCTCTAATTAAGTTGGATGTCATCAACACACTGTGTGAAGCCAAAACCTGTAAATAATTGTGAACTGTAGCTTCTTCTGGACTACTACTGCTATTTATCATGATACCGTCATGAAAATATCTTTCCAGTAGAAGAAAGCAGCCCTTGTTTACTGGTATTTGGTCAGTGCGAGAAGCAATTATGTGATATAATAGAAAGCAGCCACTGGGTGAGATTATATACAGTCTGTTGTAAATTATTATTATTATTAAATATTGCTGATACATATAACTGAAACAGGTATAATGGGTAACACTTAAATTATTACAGGAAGCTGTAATGAATAATTGAGGGGGTTCCTAAAGTTACACAGTTGGCTTGCAGTCCAGGTAATTTGCCCATGGATAATCAAGAGCCTACTGTACACAAAATTTATGTTTTTGGTTTGTTACACATCATTGCCTTTATTCCACTGTTTTATTTTATTCCAGACATATTTGATTATAGTCTTGTTATCTTTCCAACTGATTCCACAGGAGGCACTCTTTATCCACCGATCCTGCGCCCTAAAGGTACTTGTATCTTTTGTTTCTTAATTGACATAAATGACTGTATTGTTTATATTATTACGGTTTTTTATTTTGGGGAACAATTAAGATGTCATGTATATTTGATATTTGGCTTGTATGGTGGTTAATTTAAAGATGTTATAATAACTACATATGGTATAGAGAATTAAAAAACAGGATGAATCTCATTGCTTAATTTGAATGGCTTGAGATGGAAGTCATTGTCACATAATTTTTGTTACTGTCCTGGCATTTTCATAAAAGGACTAAATGAAGTTACAAAAACCTCAGTAAGTATTTAGTTTTTCATTCAAAATTTGAATCCAGAACCTCCTGAGTACTAATTGCTACACTCTAAAATATAGCTTTATAGCCACCTGGTATGTCCAAGAAGCAAAATTTGTATCTTAAAGTACAAATATTAGATATCATTTCTAAACTTGTGTATACAATTTGTAATATCTCTTGCACTTAGTACTTAATGTGTGTAAGTAGGAACAACATAACAACTGAATTGATAATTACCAATAAATGCAAAACTTCTTGATGTTATTCTGTAAACACATAAAATAAGTGGAATGTATTGTGCCTTATTTTGCTGGTGGTTAAGATCAAAATGCTGAAGGGCTTATTTGAACATAGGACAAAATAACAAGAGAGTGAAAAAATTGAAGAATGAGGAACTTCATAATGTGTATCTTTCCCCTAATATTGGTTATGTGATTAAGTCAGGACTGATAAATTGTTTGGAACATACAGGGCACATGGAAAAAGGGGATGATAGTATCAGAATAGGTCTTTATGAAGCACAGCATTAAGATTTGGATCAGATAGAATGCTCTCAGAATATGGAGCAAGTGCAGGCTTTCTTGGACACAGTAGTAAACCTCCAGGTTTCTTAAGGAAATTTCTTAACCTAGCCATCTCATAGTATGCAAACCAACAGTGTTTCTGCTTGTAATTCCACTACCACCATCAGAGCTAACTACCTTCATTACCCACATCTCTAATATTCTGTCCTCTCTCAAGCAAGTTAGTGGTCATATTAAAGAAATAGGACAATACAACATATCTTATATGTGACATAAAGCAAAAGTAAATTTTTTTTCCCCTTAGTGAGGGGTGGAGTCCATCTGGGTCCACTTGGCACAGCGGTAAAGCAAAAGTAACTTGAATATCATCTTAACAGTTAAGGGAATAGAAATGTAAGATGCATTGAATTCCATTCATCACAGTGGAACGTCAAATGCATATCACTGAAATGTTTAATATCACCTGTTTTGATAAATGTTGATCTCCAAAATCACATGTACTCTTCTCAGATGATCCATTTTGATAAAATTTTTAAAGCATGCTACTAGCATAAGTTATATTAATGTACATATTCTAAGAATTAAATAATAAGAAAATAATGTAAAATATAATTTGATAAATGTTTGTGGAGTGTGTTCAAAATATTTTATTTATCCTGGAAGAATGATGTCAGATTATTTGAATAATTACAGGATGTATGATTTGTTTGAACTTGTTGCAAGAAGTAAAGTAGCATATGGATTTCATAAAGGTTATTACAGTCTTAATGAGGTGTTAATATTGGTAGGGCCTAAACCTGGACCACCTCGCAATCTCACAGTCACTGAGATCAATAATGGGTTTCTGATCACATGGCAAGCCCCACTGGAACGAGCCCATCTTGTACAGTACTACACCATTAAGTACAAGACAGATTCCGGTTGGAAGACCTTAAACAAAGCCTCAATACGACCTGAAGAAACATCCTATCTTGGTGAGTTCTAGTTTAGGAGATCAAATATAACAAAATGAAGGAAGCACTTAACTTATTCACACCATAACACATATCGTGTACTCTTTTATATATCACCTCTCATTATTAGTGTGATAAATTGAGAATGCTGTGATGGGCCAGGCATGTAGTTAGATGGGAGTTATGAAACACATACTGAACTTTGGTGGGGAAACCACTTGGGAAGGGAGGATATTATTAAGATAGATCTTAGGGAAATACATTCAAAGGAGAGAAGGTGGGGATGGGATGAGTTTCAGTATTAGTGGTTAAAACCATTGGGTTCTAATACCAGAGAGAGACTTAATTCTGTACAGTCATATTTTGTGATAATCTTATCCATCTGACGTACTGCCGATTAGTGGTCCTGCTTGTATTGGTAGAAATTTAATTTCCCTCTATGCTAATTACAAAAGCACTGACTCCTAGATTGCAAGAAATAAGATGAAACATTTTTTATTTCTTGAGCATCAGTGAGCAGAGTTACATTTATTTTTAACCAAGCAGTGATCAGCCTGTATGTCATCCTTGCTTGAACATGTTAAAACTACTAAAGAGGCTGACCTAGTTATACATTAAGAAAGACTCAAGTAGGCCTATATGCTCATGTACCATAACAAGAATACAGGAATGCAGAAAATTTTAAGCACTTGGGAGCAGCATCAACAAATGAAAATTATGTTCATGCTGAAATTACAAACAGCATAAACTCAGGGATTACTTGCTTGTATTCTGTTCAGAAAGTCTTTATTTTTCTTCTTTCAAAAAACTGAAGGCAACTTGTACATAAGACTGCTAGCTAATCTTTTATTTTATATTCTTTTGAAATTGGGATCCTAACGTTGAATGAAAATTTATATTGAGGCTCTGAAAGCAAACTGTTGAGAAAGTATTTAGACCTGAGGGAGCTGAAGTAACTCAGGGCTGTAAAATATTATTTAATGAGGAACATTATAAAATTCATGCAAACAGATACATGCATACAAAATTGTTGCCAGAAATCTTATTTGGTAGAGACCTTATGAAGATACCAAGGTGTAGGTGACAGAACAATTTAAAATAATCTTAGGGAAACAGGGCATGAAGATGTAACCAAGATTTAACTGATTCAGGGTAGAACCTGGTATAGGAGTTTTGTGATATGTGTGATAAGCCTTCAGCTTACATACAAAAGCAGAAGTTCTAGTTGAGATAAACTACAGAAGGAAGATCCTGTACCATGGACTTTGTCATTCACTCAGGTAGGTACCTGGTTTATTGCCTAACTAATTAGTTAATTGGATAACTAGCTGATCTTTCAGATAGCTGGATAGTTGAGAAGCCATTCAATTAGTACTTGGCTAGATAATCTCTTACTTAGCTAGTCAGCCACTCTGTCAGTAAGGTAGCTAGCTGGTTTGCTAATTTACTGTGTAGTTAATTCAGTTCAGTCAGTCATTGAGTTCATTTTACTGGTATAATATGAGAGTGTTACTGATATTTCAATTTGTCGGCTTACAGTGAAGAATCTGGTTGGTGGACGAACCTACTACTTCCGTGTGCTGGCCAATTCTCTGAAAAGTTATGAAAGCAGTGAAGAGGTGAAGTATCCAGTACCTGCAAGAGTCAAACATAAGGCCATAACTGCAGGTGTTGTAGGTGGTATACTCTTCTTCATTGTTGCTATTATTCTCTCAGTTTGTGCTGTTAAGATATGCAACAAGAGGAAACGTCGGAAACAAGAGAAAGGTAAGTAAGGATATTTGTTAATAATTTTGTTTCTTAAGGTAGTGTGAATGTGAATTTTAGTCCCTGGCAAGATCGTTTAAACAGATGTCTAGGAAGTCTTGTGACTTGCCCAGTAGAATAAACCCCTACTCAATAAAAACTGCAGACTCCTTGCCTTGAGGTGTAGATGACAGCAGTTTGAAGCTACCTTTTAATTAAAACAGACCAGTGATTAACAATCAAGTTCCTTCCGTCAAATGTGACACTTTTTTAAGTTTTCCACCTCGTCACCACCTGCCTTACATGTTTCGGCTCACCACGGAGCCATCATCAGAGGCATTTATAGTAGAAAAAGAAATCACCAACACACAAAACTTCACTTTGTCCAAGATAGCCACGTTCCAGTTAATTAAAATAATTACAAATAGTTAAAATTACCCAGAGTGTCGGTTCACTAAAAGTTTTTCACACACCACAGTAGCTTTCTTATTTGATTCGTCGTTAATTCTGTAAAATTATGTTTCGTTATTTGAAGTAAGAATTCTTAAAATCCCTAGAATTCTTTCCCGCTTGGCCCAATCTTTTTGCTTCGGGATGTTGTTGACGTGTGTTGTCTGTCGGTAGTTGATGTTGCTTGTCTGTGTGTTGTGATGCTTGTGTACACAAGCAACAGTTTTTTGTGAAGTAACATGCTCTATTATTGACAAACCAAATACACCACCTCAGTCTACAGACCTTTCTTTATTTTTCCACATAATCGCCACTTCTTTGTACACATTTCTCCCAGCATTCTGGGAGTTTGAAAATTCCCCTTATGTAAAATTCCGTTCCAGCCATCCGAAGACACTGACGCACTGCTTTCTGAATTGCCTCCCTTGTCTCAAAACGTTGTCCATGCAGCTGATCCTTCACAAATCCGAAAAGATGGTAGTTGGAGGGTGCCAGATCAGGGCTATAGGAGGGGTGTGGAAGAACTTCCCACCCCATCTTTGCAATTGCTTCCAATGTGAGGCAAGCAGCGTGGGGGCGAGCGTTGTCATGTAGGATGATGATGTTTCATCCCAGATGTTTATCGCGCAGTGCACGACGGAACTTGTGCAGGATCTGGACATAATGAGCAGCATTGATGGTTTGCCCAGGTTCCAGGAATTCGGCCAGAATAAACCCCTCTGCATCCCAGAAGACTGTGCCCAGGTTCCAGGAATTCGGCCAGAATAAACCCCTATGCATCCCAGAAGACTGTGCCCAGGTTCCAGGAATTCGGCCAGAATAAACCCCTCTGCATCCCAGAAGACTGTGCCCGTCACCTTCACAGCTGATGGCACTGTCTTTGCCTTCTTTTTTAATGGAGAATGCAAATGGTGCCATTCCATACTCTGCCGTTTCATTTCAGGCTCGAAAGGTGAAACCAGCTTTCATCACCTGTCACAATAAAGAACAAAAAATCATTGCCTTCGTGTCGATATCTCTGTAGCAGTTCTGAGGTGATGGCTTTTCACTGACCTTTGTGGTCCTTGGTCAATAACTGCGGGACCTAATGAGCACAAACTTTCCTATAGCCCAAGCTTTCAATCATCTTCTGTACTGCACTGTGCCCTATTCCAAGTTTTCAGGCTATTGTGTCCACATTCACACACCTGTCATCTTGAATGATCTCATCCACTCTTTCCTTGTTGCATTCAGTTGAGGCTGTTCGAAGACGACCGCTTGCGGGCTCATCTTCAATGCTGGTATTCCCAACTTTAAAATGTTTCACCCATCTTCGAACACTGCTCGCACCCATGCACACACTTCCATAAGCATGCTGAAGTCTATGGTGAATTTCTGCAGCAGGGATTTCCTCTTTCACAAGAAATTCGATGACTGCATGCTGGGGAAACGACATGTCGTTGTTGGTCATTTTGTTAGGAGTGATACTGGTCACGTGATGCAAGCTATTGACATCACGAGACACTCAAAGTTAACATAACAGCTGGTTCCACCTACCACTACTCTCTTTTGTCTGCTGTTCCCAGGTTGCATGCAAAAAGAAGTTGTTCATGACTTTCGGTACGACCTACGTAGAATATAGTGCAATGAATGGGGAGTCAGAAGTAGGATGTAGTTAGGATCTGGTACAGTGGTTAGGCAATGAAATGCAGTTCTTACTGGCATCACTTTCTCTCTGATTTATCTAACTCATATGGGCATAATTCAGGCCAAGTGTTGATTATATACCTTTGTATCCACATGCAAGGTATATAGTAGTATATGTGTTTTTATACATTTGCAGTTTCCATTCTTAAGATTATAACATATTTGTGCACTTCATTCCTGCATATATTCATTATTTTTCCATGTCACATGCCTAACTGAAAATTCTGAGAACTGGACCTCCTGTTAACACACTTGGACGTTTCTGAAGCATAATATACTATGAAAAATACATATTTTTAATATAAACTCATTATCTAAAGTCATATTTGTAGTCTTGAATGCATTTCTTTCTTAGTAATATGTTATTTCACTTTTAAATAGCCAAGAAAGAACATGCTATTACTGTTGTTGTTGTTGTTTTCATTTTCTGCATCATTAACTTACTCTTAGTCTAATCTGACATTAATTCTGTGAGTGACTGGTGCACTGATAACTCCATGAGATTTAATTTTGCTAAAACGCATGTTGTGTCATACACCAGGAAAACAAATTTTCTGAGTTACAAGTATCAGCTTTGTCATGCTACCATTACACACACACCAGCAGTATTAAGGACCTAGGTGTCTTTGATTCAGAGTTATATTTTTACAGTCATGTTGATTATGTAATTTGTGAATGTATAAAGCTTTTAGACCTTATTTTCCCCCATAACCTATAGAATTTCTTCCCTGAAGTGCTTGTATATGTACTTACTATGCCTCAATTTAATCAGGCCAAAGCCAAAGTATGCCTTGGAATTTTGGAACTCCCACAGAAAGTCTACTTCAATTCATGGGCTTGAACAGTATCTTTATTCATAATGGGATTAAAATGCAGTGCTTTAGTTGCAGTACTGTTTTGCAGCCAAACTCACATATTGACTTCTGCTGCAGTATTACTCCATTATTCACATCAGCTGTCTTGAGGCCTGTTCATACTGGTGTCACAGTCAGCTATTTAGCTTTTGAATTAGATATCTGTGCATCTAGAAGAAAGTTTCTGATTATCTGTGTATTGTTTGAAACATCTTGAAATATAGGTTACAAAGATGGTCTGATGTAAAAATAAATAATTATATCTTTATGGATTGTTTATCTGTCCATTTTTGCTTATATTATATAGTGGTTATTCTGTGTGTAACACAATACATTAGTGTTCAAAATTCAGAATCTCTGTTTTTCAAAATTTTTTCAATAAATTATCACAAATTATAGTAATAATTTGATAGAGAGGCTAGTGGACACTGCTTCTGATGACTGGTCCATCAGTAAGTACAGCAACCCAGTGGACACTGCTTCTGATCTCTAGAAAGCAATGATGCTGATGGATTTACTGTTAGCAACTTGGTGAAGTTGCTCTATGACTCACTGTTTTCCAGATAAAATTCTAGAGGTACAGACAGATAGACGGGAAGTCTCTGTAATGCCATTCAAGTTGGCAAACAAACCAGACATACTTACATAATGAGCTGGATGATTCAGATACTTCAGAGTGCCATGAAGTTGGTTTATTTATATGACATGTCCATTTTAAATTAAATGGCTTGTCGTTATATTTGCTGAAGTGTGTAAACATGTTTTTGTGTTGGAAAAAGGAAATTTTGTCTCAACCATCAGTATATACCATGTGTACTGAAAGGCAACTACTATTTCAGATTTCAGCAATCCATATAAATATTACTATTCATTTATACATTGTGATTCTTGTGTCATGTATTTCTAGAAACATGCACTTCAGAATAAAAATTTGTAGATATGTGAGACTGGTCTTACATGTGAGTCATTGTTGCAGTGTAAGGTGTTTTTGTGATTTTATGGTTTAGGATATTAATTTCTCTTTTTAAATATTGTAACAACTTAAAAATAATACATTACATAAACTTGTGTCAAAATCTTAAAATTCACTTTTCAGTTTTAAATTATTTTTCACATCAGTGGTGTACTAAATGTTTCAAATGATATGACCATCATCAGGTGCTTCAAAAATTGATGTTGAGAAACTGCTGCATTTCCATCAAAGAATATAATTCAGAGCATCTAATTATGACCATATCAGTCATTGATGTGAAAAATAATTTAAAATTTAAAAGCGAATTTTAAGACTTTGACACACATTTGCATATGAGATGATGAATAATAAGTAATAAGTGATGTGCAAGAGGATGCTGCAGTACACCATTAGACAGTAGTGATTAAGCACTATTTAGAAAACAGAGTATCTTCTTATTCTACCAAGATGGCAAAACTTTTCTGAATAGGCTATTTATTACATAAACTTTGTGCAATATTTTACTTCTAATAGACTTCAATACCTAATATACATCCATAGAATCTACATTTCAAAACTTCTGTGAATTATATAGTCATGGTCTGCACCTTATTTATACAGATTTTTGATTTTAAGAAAGCTGTATAAATTGCCTTGATACAGTTTTGAAGAGGTCTGCACTCTTCCCCCATTGGGTTTTCAGCTTAACAAAATTTAGGGACACACACTGCCATATGCAGACTGTTCTCAAAAATTTTTAAAATCTGTGTTTTAGCCTGCTTTCCTTACTTTGATAACTAAAAGGAGGCGTCAAATGAAAGTAAATGAAAAGTTCTTCCCGAATTTTTTATGCATGGCAGCCATCAGTGTATCTCCAAAAGCTTGTTTTGATATAGATTCATCTGCATGTATCCTGTGATCATGAACTTAATAGTTAAAAATTCTGGATATATTAAAGACGTGGTGCAGTCATTAAGTTCGTGGACTCTGGTTTTGTTGTATCATATTACAAGGTATTCACATACACTTACACAGATACACATTGGCCCTCAAAATAGTCACTGTTGGCCACTATGCAAGTCTGCCAACATTGATATAGCTGCCAAAAACAGTGTTGAAACATATTGGCAGGAAATTCCCGTATGGTGTCTCTTGTGGCATTGATGACCTCCTCAGACGACTGAAATCCACGACCACGTAGCTTTGCTGTCAAGCGGTGAAAGATAAAAAAATCACATGGTGTGAGATCAGGTGAGTATGGAGGTTGTGGCAAAATGGTGACCTATTGCCTTGCCAGTTCCTCTTGGACAAGAACAAAGCGATGTGCAGGGGCGTTATCATGTAGCAACAGCCAATTCTTCATACACCAAACATTTTGCTAGGGGATTTGCCTAATTTTTGGCAGAACTTGATGTTTGTCCATTGTCCACTTGCACTTAACTGCAGTTCACAATAAAGGCCATAGTTCTGCTTACACTGTTTGCACATAACTGCCTCTTGCTGTGATGAGAGATGAACTGACAGGGCATAATATCGTGCCTCAACCTATCCACTGTAGTGCACTGCAACGACACTTTGCAGCCAGTCCACGAACTTATTGGCTATGGTAGTAAAAGCTCAATTAGAAATTAGAAATTTTCTAAAAAATAACTCTGTTGAATTTATTTCTGTTTTCCTCATTTTTGAGAAACTAAACTCAATAATGTGACATGATGTGGATGACAGGGCTTAAATTTGCAACAGGGAAGTATTTTTCTTGTCACCATCACCTCTAGACTGACTCTGGGGCTCGTCTGACCTGTCTAGTGATTTATTGCCATGAGTTTTTTTTTTTTCAGTAAGTAAAGTAACAAGGGCTGGTCATCCACCTGATGCAAGAGTGGATGAAGTTTTATTTCCATTCCCTCTGTATTACTTCACAGCATGGTGATTAAGGAAAGCATTAACTTATCTTGTACCTTTTCTTATTTGTAGAACAAATGGTCAAAAATATTCCAAAGGATAAGCATATGGGATTTTTTATGTTTTAATATCGTGACACATGTGATGGACAACATGAGAAAATTTGTGCAGCTCATTTTCAGCATTTATGTTATGCTCCATACACCTGCCTAAGAATGATTAATTATAAGCTAGACTTAGGAAGGCCTCTGTCCTGAAATGAGCAATGATAGCACTAATATGTGACTTGAAATATAATACATAGTTATATGCTTATTGGGCACAAATTTTGAAGCACTGTTAAAATGCTGCACTAATGGACTCCTGTTTCTCATGTATACATGTGGTCAGTTACATACATTTCTCACATTGAACTTTGATCTTACAGCTTTCCTTTATTTTGTACGCAGCATATAATATGGTCGCCTGTCGAGTAACTGATGCAAGAAATGGTGGCCAACCGCCAGGGGCCAGCCAAGTGCCTTTGAAAAAGTAAGTAAGACTGTTATTGAAATGTTGTCTTGTAATAATGTGTGTTATTTTATTATGGGGTATATTCATGAATTTACAGTGTATTTCTATACATACTCCTTTATTTACTGACTTTTTGTCACAGTGAAAATTTAATACTCTATATACAGTATTTATGTTACATAATGTTAACGTTAGATTATTCATGGCTACATTGATTATTTAAATGTAAACTTCTAAAATTTTAGAGGACTTTATTCCTCATCTGAGCATATGATGATCTGTTTTCACCCCCAGTGAATATGAGAAGTTCCTTGATGTAGACCATGTTCTCATACTTCCTTGTTCACTAAACATAATCATCCTCTCATCTCATCCAGCTTCTTGGAAACTGATATACAGTTGCTAAATAACTTATGAAGCAACGAACTTACAGCCTCAAGTATTTCTTCCAAATAAAATTGATGCAGGCATTAAATGTCATATAAAACAGGTTTGTGCTCTACCTTGAATGGCTTAATATTTAGGTTCATCTAAGTATGAAACATTTTTTATTGGATCCTCCCTTAGAGAAGGGATGATACATCCTTTTGAAATTACTCACTATCACACTAGAACCTGTTTTGTAATTTGTCTCTAGAAAGTAACATGAAGAATGTGGAAATGTAATGACCAGAAAGAACACTTCTGGAGCATTGTAAATTTGAGGGTGTATTTTAGTAGGAGAAATTAATGTAATAGGTATAAAAGTAAGAACCAGAGATATATTCTTACATCTCATTTAATTGTGCATTAACCCCCATGTGACTTGGTTCCTAACTAAACTGTTTACCTGTGAAGAATTTTGCAATCTTAAAAAAATATATATTCTACTCTTTCACGTTCATGTCTCACATATTTGTGCCTTGGCATTATGTTTTTCTTGGGCTCAAGGGAGAAAAAAAAATATTTGCCCAAATTCAAATCATTAGTGCTTCTGGTACCTTCAGAGTTACAAAAATATAAAGTACCAATAGAAAACTTGTTGCTGAATCTCATAGTTATGTCTGTTAACAAAGACTATGATCTTGTAGTTATAAATGTACCCAAAATGTGACAGAATGTACTGCTGTATTTCTCCCCCCAGTATGTGCTATAGGAGAGGCATAGGATAATTATTTAATCCACCCAACAGTCGGTTACTTGCAACATGAGAAACATACCATACTTAGATGCAGAGATCAACATGTATTTGAAGAAGAAGACAGAACCAGCTTCTGTATTCAATTCAAGTATTCAAGTTCTCATAGATTTATTTCTTGACAAGAGGTGTGAGTTTTACACCAAATCGACATTTTCCATAGTATTTTACATAATAAAGTGTAAGTTTTACAGTCATAATTCAATAAAACTGCATTATAATGTGCCTCACTATGCCATGGATTCAGATATGCTGCAGGTCTAGTCACGTCACTCAAAATTATTTCATTTATTTTTTTTTGTAAGGAAATTTGATTCAATTTTTACTGTGATTTTTCTCTTCATAAACAAATCTGTTCAAATGACTGCATCCAGTTGATCAGTTTGAGTGAGTAATATGACCTAGCACATGATTGCTGATTTGCTAAGGAGACTCTGATTCTTCTCTACATGAGCCCCACAGCACTGGAATTAGAGTGGCATCATTTTAATTGCAATTTGGTATTAAACTTGTTATAAACAGAAACTTTCATATTGTTAATAATTATTTATTTGAAATTTACTGAAATATTGCAGGTTACCGATAATGCAGGTCTTCATTCTGTCTCCCAACATCCATGAAATAACAGTTTTCTGTTTTCTTCATTTTTAAAAGTTAGTAACCTGACTGATTTCTATTATGCTGAAAATCAGAATATGAGATGTGTCACATTTTCTTTCTCTATATGTTGTATATATGATTTGTTGTGATTGAAAAAAGAAAAGAGTCAGTCTCAAGATTTTGACAGTTTTACATATTTTGAGCAGCCCTGAATGTGAAAAGTTTTTTTCAGGAATGCCATCTGTCTCTCTATTTATGGATTTGTGCCTTGGTGGCGCCTGAATGGTTTGATTTATTTTATTCATATTTGATGTTTAAGAATTTGTTCATCATAGGTCAATGCTGGTGAATAAGAATATTCTGGGTCCAAGAACGGGGGTCCTTCAAATAGACCTTAATGAAATACAAACACCTCTGATGATCCTGATTAAATTTCTATAATCTGTGGAGAATATATCCCTAAATAAAATTGCATCAGCAATATCATCAGGAAAATAACAGTATGTGTACTAGGGACCCAAACACAAAATGTAAATTTCATTGAAACCAGTTTTGCTAGCTAAACTGATGTCATTGTTGTTCTGCATTTAGCAACAAACAGTAGTCTACTGAACAGCTGTAAATTTCATTTCAAGGGTAATGTACTCGAGGTCAGTCATATACGAGTTTTATCGGAAAGTTCCCGGACAAGGTAAAAAAAATGATAGCTTAACTTACTCAATTTTGGCTGACATCTCCTTCAAAATAGTCTCCTTGGAGATGTATATCCCATCATTTTTTCCCACGTTTCAAAAGCACCGTGGAAGTTATTTTCCTCAATGCTGTTGAGTACTGCTTGTGATTCCCTTTGGATGTCAGACACTGTTTCAAAACGTTGTCCCTTCAGTATTGTTTTCAATTCAGGAAACAGAGCGAAATCACAAGGGACTAAGTCCAGTGAGTAGGGAGGATGGGACACGATAACCATGTTGTTGTTAGTCATAAATTTTATGGTTTTCAGGGACGTGTTGGTGGGTACATTGTCATGATGAAGTGCATGTTCAAATTTTCTGTTAAAATCTTTTGGCAAACTCCATAACTGATCCCAGCAGCATCTGCGAGCTCATAGATTGTTCATCGATGGCCTTCATAGATGAGGTCTAGAATTTTTTTCAACATTTTCTGTCATTTTGCTGGTGCATGGTCACCCTGAATATTTGTCATCTTCAACTGACACTTGGCTCACCTTGAAACATGAATGCCATTCAGAAACCGCTGTCCAGCTTAAAGAATGTTCTCCAAAGCCTCACGAAGCATTTCAAGAGTTTTGGTAGCAGATTTACTGAGCTTCACGCAAAGCTTAATGTAAACACATTGCTTGATTTTGCCATCCATGTCAGACAGAGCAAAACACAAAGTGGAAAAAGCACTCGTTTAAAAACAATGCATATTCACACCACAGTGTTACATGGCAAACTGATGCAATTGGCTTCCAGAAGTGTGACCTTGGCCTCCCCTCTCATCTTCTTTCACTGAGGCAGTTACAACAATAAGAGTCCAGGAACTTTCCAATACCACCTCATATGAGAATGTATGTGCAGTGTCCTTGCACCAACTTTTTGTATGTGCATGAAACATGATATTGTATTTTAAGAAAGATAATAAACTACGGGTAGAAATTTAAGATATTACATGACAAACGTCATGATTTATGCAAATCACCTTGTATTTATAAGACAGAGAGTTTTGGATGTTATGTTGGGCTGAACATGTTGCTAGGTTGGGGGATATGAGCAATGCATGCAGAATTTGGTGGGGAATGGGAAATGGCTGGTTGGAAGAACAAGAATGATATGATTGGAGAATATTAAGATGGAACTTAAGAAGATGGATTGTGAGGCTTGGAGACTGATAGAACTGGCACAGCATCAAGTCCAGTATTAGGCTTTGGCATTAACTTTAGCATTCTTCTCGCACAGTGTTACGTAGTACTGTATTCCAAGAAAGTTGATTTCAAAACTTTATTTTGATCATCATTGAAATCATCATTATTTTTAGATCCCATCCCTGAAATATGCATAGCAGTTGTTTATGCAATGCTTTCTTATCCAAAATGATGTGAGATATATATCCACAAAAGTACTGTAAGTTCTGACATATAAGATTACCCCTTAATTCTGAGTAAAAAATTTGAATTTGGGGCTATATTTGCTAGATAAAACAACTCTAAATGGTTTTTCAGTTATTCTTTTTATTTATTTATTTATTTGTGTTTATTTTTATATAAAATTAATTCAAATCCTGCAAAACCCTAGTCATCAGCATGGTGATGGAAATTCATTAAGTACATCCTGAGACATACAAGTATTTTCAAGTGATTCATCACAAGGATCAAACTCTGAATCAGATGGTGTTGCTTCAACTTCAGCTTCCCCATCATCTTGCCACAATAATTTGTCCTCTATACTAACCATCTGATATGTCACTCTTTTCTGAAAGACCCCTTGACAATTCCAACCCCTACATCATTCCATGCATTGATGATAAAATGTAATAGTACATTCGGTAAAGCTGCATGAATATTCCCACCTTTTGTGATTGATTTTTTTGCTGGTAAATGTCCACTTTTTTCCATAGTGGAAACCTTGAAAACCTTGCAGAGGCATCTCATGATTGTACCAATGATGTGAAGCCTCCAGGAGTAGCTACCATATCTGTGTTGCTTCTTTTCAGGCATTTCTTTGTGTTCTCAGCTACATGTGGTTTAAGCATATCCCATACCAATAGGCTACATTATTTTCACAAACCATCAGGTGTCCTGTTTCATACATTACCAAGCCATAACTGAATTTCTTCTTCATCCATCAAGGATTTTTCATATATTTGAAAAAAAAACTCCAACAAGAAACATGATTTTTGGCATTGTTTTCTCCTTGAGTATGACCAGTGAATCAACTTTTCTGCCATCTACCATGCATGATACTACCATTGTAAAAATCGTTTTTTTATGTCCTTTTGGCACATGGTGGCATAATTGGTTGAGGCACTATGCTACAAGCTGGAAGGTCATGGGATCGAATGCCAATAAGGTCATTGGATTGTTTTCAATTTACCTAATCCTTCCAGCCACACTATGGCCCTAGGGTTGACTCAGCCTCTAACAGAAATGAGTACCAGGAGTATTCTAGGAATGTTCTTGGGCGTAAAAGTCTGGCCAGCGCATAAGGCTGACAACCTTACTGCCATCTTTGAGCCAATTGTG